GTGAGAAATGTTCAGAATGGAGAGAGAGAGAGAGTGTGTGTGTGTGTGACAGACAGACAGATAGATAGATAGATAGATAGATAGATAGATGTAGACGAACCCAAGGAAATACCACTAATTAAACTGATTAACGATAGTGGCTCACGTGTTATCTGGCAACATTATGACCAACAGGAAATTGCCCCTATTAACTCTTAAGAAAAAAACATCCTTAATCTCGTCTTCAACTATCGGCAAATATCAGTTGACGCCGATTATTACTGTACCGAGTATATCAAACATCCGTCTAAAATTTAATCTAAACTAAAAACTTATTTTACATTTAACTTAATTTACATTTTAATAATCCAGTTCAGAGCCTTATTTAGGTGTTGGTAAGTATCGGTGAACTCAATTTGCCACGTTGTTACCTTGACTATCTGGTGAAAATAGTGTGTTTACTGTGAATATTAGACTTGTTTTGAGGAGGTTCTGAAATACCAGTTGTTGCTGAACGTTGCCGCCTGAGTGACGCCGACTAGCAGAACGCAGCGGCCTAATTCCGGGAAGTACCTTGTGATTAAAATTTACCTGTTACAACTGGCTGATATATTTTCCTGTGTTAATTGGAGGTAAGTAGTGAGGAAGACGGTAGAGCCTAATATGGCGGTAGGCCACGGCGGCGTAATGCAGGAAATGTGTTGATGTTTTTGTTCTGTCGAGTGTGAGGTGTGACTTGTTTCTTTGCTTGTCTCTATAAGTTGTTACTCAGTCAAGGGGGACCTGAACCACGAATAAGTCAGTTCCTCAAGTTGTTACTCAGTCAAGAGGGACCTGGAGCTTGAGCTGTGTTCCTTAATCATAAGAATAAACTTGAGAGAGAGAGAGAGAGAGAGATTTCTAAATGAGGAGTACATGGAGGCCTAATGGAGAAAAGAAAGGGAGGGAGAGAGGGATAAATTTTAAGAAAGAGATGGAAAGGTCAAAGGGAGAATCAGTAAGGGGGAGATGAGGGAGGTAGGGGGTGAAGGAGAGAAGGTGGGTAAGAGGGAGTGCGATAGGAGAGAGGGAGAAAGAAGAGGAGTGTGCAGGTGAGGGAGGTAGGGGGTGATGAAACACAACAGGACACTACAGACGCTTAGTGGCAGCCGAGGTGAAGGTTGACAGAGAGGGAGAGACAGACAGACAGAGGGACAGAGACAGAGAGAGAGACTGGCAGACAGAGAGACAGAGAGGTACTGATACTTATCATCACACACACACACGCCTAATAACTAATACTGTACCTTTCTTAATTAACAGAGGTTTACATGGTGTTGATTGTCACTCTTATGGTGAAAATATTATCTGTCTATCTATCTATCTATCTATCTATCTATATGTCTGTCTGTCTATCCATTGCTTTATCCTCAGTTACACTGTACACAAAAATATACCAGTTAATCCTCTTTATAAATCAACACCAACTCAGGTAATCCCAGAGGTAATCCCAGATCAGTCTCGGCCTTCGGATTACCTTAATTAATCCCAGGTGTGTCTCATTTCGTCTTCACGGGACTCTCAAGGTTGACCTTCAAGTAAAAACAAGCTTTAATCCCTCAATGATAGGTGGAGAGGGAGAGGGGGAAGATAGGTTGAGGAGGGGTTGGGGTAGGAAAAGGCAGCGGGGGGTGTCAGTTGGGCTGTGGTGGTAGAGGAGGGAGGAGGAAGGGGTAGGGGGGAGGGAGGGAGGAAGGGTAGGGGGGAGGGAGGGAGGAAGGGTAGGGGGGAGGAAAGGACGGAGGTTTAACTGCTGTGTTAATCCCGTGAGCGTCTGGCGACACTGATGATAACAGAACAAGATACTGTACTCGTTACCGGAGATGGTGTAAGGTAGTAGGTTCACCCTCTCAGTGTATGTGGGGCTTCCGTCAGCACCGCCTCAGTCGTTGCAGCAGTCAGTAGGGCAAAGTGGACACGGATATCTCAGGACACGTCGGACGGAAGGGATCACGGATGGCCTGTGACACACTTGGGATACGCATGGACTCGTGGGAAACGTGTGGAAACAAAGGGCAAGCCTTATGATGAGTTGGGACATGTCTTAAAACTTCGAGATTTGACTAAGACGCATACACTCACTGATGTCAAGACACGCAGGGATACGTTGAAACATCCACCCACCCCCCAGAGATTCCTTAAGACATACCCGAGAGAATTCAGGACACGCAGATACTGTATTTTACACCCTTCGTCACAAACCAGTGGAGATGGGAGACGCCGCTCAGTCAGTCTCCATACCTCCTGGGATGTTGCCTCTGTTTCTGACGCTCGACCACAACAACCACACCCACAACCACGACGACGACACAGGTGAGGCACTACGACAACCACACCTCCACCACACCCACAACCATGACGGAATAATTTAATTGACCATATGGGGAAGGACGTGATGGTCATGGGTTATGGGGGAAGATGTGCTTTTGTAATGGGTCGTTGGAAAGGTTAAGACTTGGAGTTAGAGTACTAGTAAGGGTTAATACTTGAGGTTCGAGTACTAGTAAGGGTTAAGACTTGGAGTTAGAGTACTAGTAAGGGCTAATACTTGAAGTTCGAGTACCAGTAAGGGTTAAGACTTGGAGTTAGAGTACTAGTAAGGGCTAATACTTGAAGTTCGAGTACCAGTAAGGGTTAAGACTTGGAGTTAGAGTACTAGTAAGCGTTAAGACTTGGAGTTAGAGTACTAGCAAGGGTTAATACTTGAGGTTCGAGTACCAGTAAGGGTTAAGACTTGGAGTTATAGTACTAGTAAGGGTTAATACTTGAGGTTCGAGTACTAGTAAAGGTTAAGACTTGGAGTTATAGTACTATTAAGGGTTAATACTTGAGGTTCGAGTATTATTAAGAGCTAAGACTTGAGGTTCGAGAAAGTACTAGTATGGGTTAGACTTGGAGTTAGGAGTACTAGCAGGCGGGCTAATACTTCTTGAGGTTCGGAGTACTAGTGGCGTTTAAGACTTGGAGTTAGAGTACTAGTAAGGGTTAATACTTGAGGTTCGAGTACTAGTAAGGGCTAATACTTGAGGTTCGAGTACTAGTAAAGGGTTAAGACTTGAGTTAGAGTACCAGTAAGGGCTAATACTGAGGTTCGAGTACTAGTAAGGGTTAAGACTTTGGAGTTAGAGTACTAGTAAGGGTTAATACTTGAGGTCTGGTTACCAGTAAGGGTTAAGACTCTGGAGTTAGAGGCTCAGGTGCTAATACTGAGGTCTGGAGCACCAGTAAGGGTTAAGACTTGGAGTTAGAGTACTAAAGCAAGGGTTACTTGAGGTTCGAGTACCGCAAGGGTTAAGACTTCGGGATAGAGTACTAGTAAGGGTTAATATCACTTGGTGCTCTGAGTACTAGTAAGAGTTAAGACTTGGAGTTAGAGTACTAGTAAGGGTTAATACTTGAGGTTCGAGTACTAGTAAGGGTTAAGACTTGGAGTTAGAGTACTAGTAAGGGTTAATACTTGAAGTTCGAGTACCAGTAAGGGTTAAGACTTGGAGTTAGAGTACTAGTAAGGGCTAATACTTGAAGTTCGAGTACCAGTAAGGGTTAAGACTTGGAGTTAGAGTACTAGTAAGCGTTAAGACTTGGAGTTAGAGTACTAGCAAGGGTTAATACTTGAGGTTCGAGTACCAGTAAGGGTTAAGACTTGGAGTTATAGTACTAGTAAGGGTTAATACTTGAGGTTCGAGTACTAGTAAAGGTTAAGACTTGGAGTTATAGTACTATTAAGGGTTAATACTTGAGGTTCGAGTATTATTAAGAGCTAAGACTTGAGGTTCGAGTGAGAAGGTTGACTAAGAAAATGGTAGTTTGACTTTTGTGAAGAAGGCATATATCAGGAAAGACCTTGTAAGGTTCCTGACAGCTTAATAATGCAGGTGTTGGGAAATACTTAATTGTAGTGGTGAGAGAGAGAGAGAGAGAGAGAGAGAGAGACTTCACACCTATGTTAATCACTTTAGGCTGCCCAGGTATCAGGTAAACATGGAGGTGTGTGTGTGTGTGTGTATTGATTGCCGTAAACTGGATACCAAGAAATATTAGTGGACAGGCGGATTAATATTAATGAACTGAATTTCCTCATTGAATAGATTGTGAGAGACGGGGTGGAGGAGGAAAGGAGAGAGGAGCAAGAAAGGAAGAAAATATGAGAGCGTAGTGGATGGAACGAGAGAGAGAGAGATCCCAAAATAGGAAACTTGTGCATATAAATCAGCGTTAGGGCGGAAAAACCTGAACACAAACACGTCAACTTACCTGTGTGACCTAGGTACCACCCCCCTCCTTCCCCTCCTCACCTCCTCTCCCCCTCACCTTTCCCCCCTCTCCTCCCCTCACTCCCCCAACACTCATCCCTTCCCACCTCCTCCTCACCCTCACACCCAGCACCCCCCTCTCCTCCTCTTGTTTACACACAGTGGCTTGATTCATGTGAAGGAGGGAGAGGTTGACTCCAGCGAGGCCACCAACATCTCAACAAAGGTCACATCTGTTAAGGCAAACTGTCTCTGTCTGATCTGAATTTAAATCAGTGGGTCAAGTAGCGGCACTCGGGTTCACTACCATACTTAAACACACGGGTCACTACCACACTTAAACACACGGGGCCACTACCACACTTAAACACACGGGGCCACTACCACACTTAAACACACGGGTCACTACCATACTTAAACACACGGGTCACTACCACACTTAAAACTACATCCAGATGAAATTGCAAAACATTGTACTTCAACCCTAATAGTTGTTGCTGAAATTTAGAAGCAAAAGGTGATTGTGAGGCCGACAGATGAAGTGAAAGTCATTACATTGTCTTTTTTCTAATAGATGACGTTAATGCCTAATTGTCCTTTCTCCCAATATATGGCGTTAGTGCCTAATTGTCCTCTCCACCAATAGAAATCGTCGGAATGACTTAGTTGTAGTGTCCAGCCAATGATGTTATTGTGAAGTGTTGTATTAAAATAGTTGTTGTGTTACAGATGGCGGGCACGGTGGGGCGCCTCTGGGCCTCGCTCTCCTCATAGCCATGGTCTCCGTCGCCCTGGCTATTGCTATCATCGCCCTCCTTATAAGGTGAGTGTGTCATCTCTTTCTCTCTCTCTCATCACAGGTTCGTCTCGCTGCCAACTTTTACAATAATTACAAAGAAATTCCTTGAGGTAAAGGTTAACTGTTACTTGTACTTGATTCCTTAGTGTCACTGTAACCTAACTGTATTACCTGTGACTGTATTACTTGTACCTGTATTACCTGTGACTGTATTACTTGTACCTGTATTACCTGTGACTGTATTACTTGTACCTGTATTACCTGTGACTGTATTACTTGTACCTGTATTACCTGTGACTGTATTACTTGTACCTGTATTACCTGTGACTGTATTACTTGTACCTGTATTACCTGTGACTGTATTACTTGTACCTGTATTACCTATATGACCGTATTACCAAACGCTATAATCTAACCTAACCAATATTTTTTTCCTAATTTCCATCTATTTATTTCCATCAGTAAGTCTTCCACAAATTACACCTTTGAAGTACTGTACACAACCTCCCTGAGCCCCGTGTGTGTGTGTGTGTGACCTTACTTCCTGCTTTGACCCCCAGATTGCCCAACTGCTTCAAGACTTGATGACCTTGGCTTAGTTTTGATGGACCTCTCCTCACTGATGTGTAATTACCCCAATGATCGTTAATGACCCTACTAATTTACCCTTCCAAATTGACCTTTAATGACGCTCTCTTAAATGACTCTATGGGCTGTAATAACATCATTAACCTGACAAAACCTGACCTAACTTGACTAAACCTCGCCAAACCTGACCTAGCGTGACCTGATGTAGTTTCCCTGACGACCTTTACTGACTTGGCTTTCTCTATGTGACCTCGTTTATCAACACAAGTCTTGACCACCCTGGCCTTAGCTTGACCTGGGTTTACTTAGTTTAACCTTTCATGGCGAGTTAGACGTAATGAATGACTCATCTGGGGGTGGCGTGATGGTGGTCAAGTCAGGTCATGAGGGACACCCCTGCACCTCACTGCCTCATTATTACTATTATTAATCACCTGAAGATTAGGCACCCTAACTTATTTCACCTGACGATTAAACATCCAAACGTTAACCTAACCTAATACAGTCTAGATTACGTTAGTGTTAGGTTAAATTAGGTTAGGCAAGGTTTAGGTTAGGTTAAACTAGAGAAAACGGGGTTAAAACATTTGATAAATACAATAATAAGTGTGAAAATAGAATAAATTAGGTTTAATATATGATAATGTATAGGATAATTCCGACAAGAAACTGAACTAGATTATAGTGAAGATTTAAAATAGAGCCTATATCAAATTATTCCATATTTGTTTTACCCTCATATAAAATTGAGTATAACTAAATGAATAAATCAGTTTATATAAGGATTGATATATAAAGAGTTAGTGGATATCAAATTATAACATATAAGGGATAGATTAACAGGCAAGGTTGGTGTTTACAGATGATGTATAAACGCATCATATAGTTCTTATAATAAATATGATATGAAATGTAATGGTTGATCGTTAAAGGTTGAGGAAAGTGACGTTAATGAGGTGTATGAGTGAATTGACCATTAGACGGACCAAATTGACAGGAGAGGAGGAGACAGAACGGTAATTGAAACTTGAAACGTAACTTGATAAAAGAGGTGATAATTGACGATAATAGGTGGAAATGGGTGATAATTGACGATAAAGAGTGGGAATAAATAACAATTGATTCGAAGTGGAAATAGACGATAATTGACGATTCGAAGTGGAAATAGATGATAAGTGACGATAAGAAGTGGAAATATATAATAATTGAATGATAAATTAGATAGGAATAGAGTTGTGACTTAGAAAAGACTTAATAAATAGGGTAATTGATAATAATATGAGATAAAACAGGGAATGAGAGGCTATGGATAAAGGAGGAATTAATGAGATGTTGATAAAAATTATGAAATGCAGCAAAACAGATGATAAATAGTTAATGAGTCACGAGAATGAATTAGAGGGTTAATGAAGGATAGATGAGAACTAAAAGAAACAGAAAATGAAAGAAATAGGATAAACGATAAATTGAACATTTAACGGAACACAAGACTAACTTCAGGTTGATGAACTAAGGAAATGTGAAGCAAAGAATGAGATAGCGAGAACAGGTGATAATTGAAGGTCATAGAATCTTGATGAATGTTGAACTGAAAAGAAAATTGTGATAGAGATTGATTGAGGTTGATGACTGGATTGGTGGAGGGGTGAGGGAGGGGGTTGGCTGGGGGATGTGAGGGGAGGGGAGGGGGAAAGTTGGGGAAGGGAGTGTGATGGAGGGGAAGGGGGTGAGGGAGGGGGAAGGGAGAGGGGGATGGCCCAGTTGAACACAAGGGCAGGAACTACTCAAGGTGAACAGTATATTAGGTCTTACTGTCTAGCATGTCCTTGGCCAGTTTATCTCTCTCTCTCTCTCTCTCTCTCTCTCTCTCTCCCATCTTATTTACGTCATACATTTATCCTACCTTTTGTTTCCCTCTACTTTCCTACCCTTCCCTTTCTCCATTTCTCCCTTCCCCTCCCTCCCTTTCGTCCTTTCCCTCCCCCACCCCCCCCCCCCTTCCGCCTACGTGACCACACACTCTCCACCTCTTCCAGTGACCTTTCCCGGCAGCACCTCGTCGCTCACCAGGTCAGGTCACTTGTTCCTCCGCTTTCCTGACCTAGCTTTTGGTGGTGGTGGGGGGAGGGAGGATAGGTCAAGGGAGATAGGGGTGGGAGTGAGCGAGAGGGGATAGATATTGAGAGGGAGGGAGAAGAGAGAGGGAGAGAGACCTTGGCTAACACCCCAAGACTAGAGGAAGGACACTACCTCCCTTCCCCTCTCTCCTCCATTCCCCTCCTTCTCTGCCTCCCCCCTCCCTCCTTCTCTGCCTCCCCCCTCCCTCCTTCCCCTCCACCAACACCTTCCTGACTGGTTACATTGGCCGAGTATCAGGGTCAAGTCTATCCAGGGGAGGAAGAGGACGAAGAAGAAGAGAAGGGGAGGAGAAAGAGGAAAGGGAAGAAGAAAACGAAGAAGAGAGGGAGGAGGGAAGTTGCTTAAGAGCGACGAGAGTGAGAGACAGAGAGGGAGGGAAGAGGAGAGGCTTCTCGTATCTCTCTCTCTAACATGATCAACAGACCTCCACTAAATATAACAATATGCATAAAGTTTTTACGAGTCAACTGTGTGTGTGTGTGTGTGTGTGTGTGTGTGTGTGTGTGTGTGTTCTTCCGCGTGTAGGTAAAAAAGAGTGTATTCCTGTGAACTATTAGTGAACGTCTACTTCCTGTGTAGCTTGAATTAGCCTGATTGTGCTACTTAATGGTAAAGGTGTGTGAGGTGCCCAGGTGAGGTGGCCCAGGTGAAGTGGCCAAGTGAGGTGTGAGGTGGCCAGGTGAGGTGTGAGGTGCCCAGGTGAGGTGGCCAGGTGAGGTGTGAGGGACGTAGGAGGTGTACTGTAACTGTGGGATAAACTGTACAGTTAGGTAGTAAATAGACATAAACAGACAGACAGACAGACACAAACAGATACAGACAGATCAACACAGAGACAAACGTGGCCCTCAGCTTCATAGCAGCCTGAAGGAAGTGTCTTTTGGCATTTCCCTGTTGTTGGTGTGAAGAAAAATATGTTGTAATAAATTGGGTTTTTAGTCCCCTCCCTCCCTGTCTTCCTTCTTCCTCTCTTCCTCCATCTATCCCTCTCCCTCCCTACCTCATTTTCTCCTTTCTTCCTTCCATACCTTCTTTTATTTCTTCTCCCCTCCCTATACCTACCGACCTACCTACTATATCTCCCTCCCTCCCTCCGCCCCTCTCTTCTTCCTCTCTCACTAGTTACCTCCAACTTTCCACCTGACCTCCAGTGACCTCTCTAGTGACGCTTTCCACTGTCAACTGGAGGACTTCTATCCCTCCACCCATTACCTCCCACTACCTCACCTTGTCCCTTCTCATCTCCGTCTGACACCACCCCACCCCACCCCACCCTGCCCCGACCCACCCCACCCTGCCCCGACCCACCCCCGACCCGACCCAACCACCTGCCCCGACCCCGACCTACTCCGTCAACGCCCCGATCTAATGAATACACAAAATATCATCAATACAAAACAGAGGAGTGAATTATTCTGTCTTGGGCTATAAATACTCTTGCAGGCTAATAAAAGAAGAGGGAAGAGGAAGAGGAGACTAGAGGGAGAGGGTGATGGAGGAGAAAGAGAGGGTGGGGTTAGAGGAGGAAAAAGGGGTGGAGGGGGTAGTAGAGAAGGAGGGGAGGGACAGGAGGGAGGAGAGAGAGAGGAGGGGGGCGGACAGGTAAGGTCAGGAGGTATATAAAGGCGGCGCCACACACACACTGGGTCAGTTCACTTGACACACCGTTACCGTCAACATCTTCTCCAAGTGTGTGTCCGTGATTAGTGTGTCAATGTTTCGTGCGTCAATAATTAATGTCAATGTTTCGTGCGTCCGTAATTAGTGTGTCAATGTTTCATGCGTCAATAATTAGTGTGTCAATGTTTCTTGCGTCTGTGATTAGTGTGTCAATGTTTCATGCGTCAATAATTAGTGTGTTAATGTTTCGTGCGCCAATAATTAGTGTGTCAATGTTTCGTGCGTCTGTGATTAGTACGTTGATGTATTACTCATGCGTCGGGGCTTTAGTGAGGTAGAGAGCCATGCGTCAGTTTGGGGGTGTTGATGTAGTGCGTCAAGTTATCAACACAGTGCAATGCGTTATAATGACGTAGTGTGTGTAACAGTACTACCAGTAAAGTGCGTCAACGTCACCCCTCGATCAAGTGCGTTACTGAGCAGTGCGTCACCAGTTAATGCGTTACTGATTAGCGCATGTTATGATGTCATTCCATGTTATAAAAATATTGATAACAATGCCGATGATAACATTATTAATACCAGTAATAATAATAATAATAATGATGATGGTTGGTGCGAGGCGAGTGACGTGTGTGTGTGTGTGTGTGTTGTGTGTGTATGTGTCGTGTGTGTGTGTCGTGTATGTGTGTGTTTATTTATATATCACACTGACGTAACAATAGCGGAAGTGAAGTAACAGGTACAATAGGTGAGACACACGTGTACGTATCTGTGTGTACATCCGTGTGTGTATGTTTTTTGTCCACCGAGACGTGAGTAAGCAAGAAGGAGAGGCTGGGGGAGAGAAGATGAAGATGCATAATTTGAAGGTCGTGATGGTGGTAGTGGTGGTAGGTGGTAGTGGTGGTAGTTTTTGTGAGGGCAGTGTGGTCAGCCTGACAACTATGGTGATGAGTGTTCTTGTTCCTGTTGTTGGCGCCAGACATGTTTACTGTTGTTTTGAGTCTTGACGTTATGGGCTGGTTGTGGTGGTCAATTAACTCACTAGTACTGTCACACATTTTGAATTTATTTTGTTGAATATATTTCTAACATAGTCAACAGGTAATGACTACTGACCCACACAGGTAATGATGATTTATATATATATACTTGTAACAACATAATGACTGCTATTTTATCCCCCTCCCCCCAACACACACAACATCCGGGTCTCTCGTAGCTGCTATCTAAGCACTTTATCACCCCTTGTCTGTCTCTTTGTCCTGTGAGATAAAGTGACGGAAGTGGCCGCTACCTGCGATTGGTTCAGGTAGGAAAAAACTCAATTGTAGGGGATGTGGGTTGACAGGTGAGGGAGCCAGTGGTCATGACATTTACCTGAGTGTCCACGTGGGAGGTTAATTGACTGGCTAGACGCACAGTTAGGAGGGGTGTAGGATGGGGGAGGAGGTGAGGAGAAGGGGTGTAGGATGGGGGAGGGGGTGAGGAGAAGGGGTGTAGGGGGTAGGTAAAGGTCCACCACGATGAGAAGAATGTAAATGAGAGGAGGAAGGGTGGAGGTGCCAGGAAGACTGGGATGATTGTGGCAAAGTTTGGGCTGGTGGTGCTGAGGGAAAGGTGAAGAGGTGGTTTTGTTTGATCAAGTGTGAGTGTCTCTCTCTCTCTCTCTCTCTCTCTCTATCTCTCTCTCTGGGACACGTACTGACCACCCTTAAGCAATAGTGAGATTTGACGGATACAACACGTAATTAAATTGGTCAGTAGGAGAGAGAGAGAGAGAGCCTTTGACATCAAGTCTTCAGTTTCTCTTCTTCTCTTCTCCTCCGCCTCTTTCTCCCCATCCTCCGTCTTCTTCCCCTCCATGTACCCAGTGAACTAGCGTGATAGAAAGGAAGCAACAACAACACACAGCATGTAAAAGCTACTCACATTGAACCACGGGACAAGTTCGACATTATGCTCTCAGTACTTCACTTAATCCCTCACTAACTAGAGCACATGTAAGGTCACACCGCCTCATCTAAGGTCAACACGTAGAGCTCAGGTCAACTCTGATGGGGTGTTACTAGTCACTTTCTACTCAACTAACTTCAAGAATTGATTGTAGGTCGATTTAACTTGTGATGTTTTGTTTTGGTTGTGTATAGGTCATGTTGTTGTTGTGATGGTAGTTACTTCCGGGTTGAGGCTGTGTATGGGGCCTGTGTGTGTGTGTTAGGTCAAAAGTCTATCTATATCATTAATTCAACTATGAAATATAACTTATATCTGAACTAATATAACATAATCTAATCTAACTTAACCTAACCCCACAGGTAGCGTTAGGGGGTAATCCTCCGCTAAAATTAACTCGCTCACTTAAAAGTCAACAGGTGAATTAAGGGAAAGTTTACCTGTATTTAGTTGTGGTTAAAAGGTAGCTTAGAGTGAGTTTGTTATTATCTGTGTCTCGCTGTTGATTAAATACGAGAGTTGGGTCAAGATCACGTATATTTGGGCTACCTTGATGTTATGGGAAATTATATTTGCAGTTAATACGTATATTTAAATTTTTAAGATGGAGATGGGTAGTACAGCTTGGCCTCCACTTAACACACACAACACATACACGCAACACACATACACGCAACACACATACACACACAACACACATACACGCAACACACATACACACACAACATATACACGCAACACACATACACGCAACACACACACACACAACACATACACACAACACACATACACGCAACACACACACACACATACACGCAACACACATACACGCAACACACACACACACATACACGCAACACACATACACACACAACACATACACTCAACACACATACACACACAACACATACACGCAACACACATACACGCAACACACATACACGCAACACATACACGCAACACACATACACACACACACATACACGCAACGCACATATACACACACACACACACATACAGGCTTTCACTTCATCATGTCCCAAGTTTTTGTCTCAAGTTGTCTAAGTTATGTGAACAATAATAACACATTAGGTCACCGGACGTTGCCTATGTGTGTGTATCAGGTCAAGTTATAAATGGCATGGTAGGTCACCTGTTATTCACCTGTTCACTCCGCCTCTGACTGTGTGTGATTGTTCGTTAGTCTTACAGCCCCTCCCAGTGAACAAGACACACTGGGTGGATTTGTGTGTCTGTCCGTCCGTCTTTCTGTACGCCATTTTTCGTGTGTGTGTGTGTGTGTTTCTGTATGTGTGTGTGTGTGTACCTGAATATGTGTGTGTGTGTGTGGAAGGACATGTTTGTTTTTGTCACAGGTGTTGCAGTAAAGGTTAATCAGCGAACCAACTCATAGAAACACCTTGTATCAGATGACTCGAGTTATGAACAGCTAAAAATAGTAAGTGTGTGTGTGTGTGTGTCAGCAGCTACCTGATGAACGCTTCTTATATTTTTAGCTTTTTCGAAATCTGGCATCACTCTTATTGAAAGTTGCCAGACAGCTTTTTTCCCTGGTGTCTTGTTTCCGCCGGTAATTGGAACAGCACAAAATATCAGTACTTTCCAAACTTGTACTTTTTTCTACAACATTTTGGTGATGAAAGATATATATATATATATATATATATATATATATATATATATATATATATATATATATATATATATATATATATATATATACACACATATTGATAAATCTTATCCATGTTTTCATTGTGATCTACATGAAAAAAAAAAAAAAAAAAAATATATATATATATATATATATATATATATATATATATATATATATATATATATATATATATATATATATATATATATATATTGTGCTGTTCCAATTACCGGCGGAAACAAGACATCAGATTAGAGAAAAAAGCTGTCTGGCAACAGGAGTAATCATTATAAGATACTGATTACTCCTGTGTGTGTGTTGCTCATGTTCCAACACACACACACACACACGGTTGTCTACGTGTTATTGATATCCTGAAGATCGTAATTAATTAATAGTGATGATCGAACGTCACCTTTTATACGTATAGTTTGTCAACGGGCCACTCAGCGAGATAGTAACCCCGAACATGGAAACTAACCAATCACGAGCACTATTACCCTGGATGTATATGGTAAACTAAACGATCGGTAATCATCGCGACGTGGAGGTTTTTGTTTTGTGTTTTGCTCTCAGTCTGTCAATGGTAATGTGAAATTATCATCTAGTGTTGAAACCTGCGTGACCAGTTCTTATTTAGGTAAGGGTTTGAAGCGGGAACCTTGGGGTTGCTTCCAGCGTCGTGAGGAAACAAATGAAGGGAGGAAGGCGGTCGTGGAGAGAGGGAGGTGGTGTGTGGACGTGCAGACTACGCTCGCCTCGCCTTTCTCGGCCTCCTCAGTAACCAGTTGAATCACAATCCGACTGGTCTTTTGAGATCGTTCGTGCGTCAGTTCAATCCCATTCGTCTAAACAACCCACCTCTCGCCCCCCGTCACACACCCATCCGTCTACGGTACACACACTCGTTGTTGATGCCCGTTCCAGTTATGTGTAGTGACGGAGGAGGACATGTTAAAGGGATTGTTATGCTTGTTATCATCTGTAGTGTTCCGTAAAGTCCTGCACTCAACACCTACTGTGAATTCTCCCTTGCAGGACCACCACCACTGTGTTCTGTCGCTGTCACCTCCTGTTAAAAGTGGACATAGAAAACACACGTTGTATTAGTTATAACAAACGCCGCGACACAGACAAGGACAAAATACGTGAACGAAGTAACAACTGTGGGTGATATAGACAGTTGTGGTGATTAATAGACGTTGAAATAAAACAAAAGAAAACTTGTGTAGAAGGTTAATAAGTACTTTAAGTTGTGGAAAATACCAATCATCCAGGAAGAAACACCTCGTTTGTTTACTTTGTGGCAGGTGTTCTTAGCCACTCAGAAGGTGCTCCTCGGCCAATCAGAAGTGCTCCTAGGCCAATCAGAAGTGTTCCTAGGCCAATCAGAAGTAGATCCTCGGCCACTCACAAGTGTTCATTTAAGTTTGTTAAGAAGACAGCCAGACGTGAAGAATGTCGATCAAGAGGATGAGTAAGATGAAGCTGGTGTGGAGCCAGAGTATGGTGAACCTGGCCATCCTGGACCCTGAGACGGCCATGATCATCGCCCAGGACACCCACTACTTTATGTACGGGTAGGTGACCCCCTCCCCTGGCACCTGTTGTAGCACTGTAGGTGACCCCCTCCCCTGGCACCTGTTGTAGCACTGTAGGTGACCCCTTCCCCTGGTGACCCCCTCCCTTGACACCGGTTGTAGCACTCTAGGTGACCCCCTGACACCTGTTGTAGCACTGTAGGTGACCCCCTTCCCTGGCACCTGTTGTAGCACTTGGTGACACACCTGTCTCTCTTGGCACCGCCTTGTTTCTTATCATGGTGGAGGCCCGTTCTCATTGTGGGTTAATCTCCCGCGACAACTTCACCAAACCTTTGACTTATTATTATTTTCCTTTAGAAACTTTATGTTAGTTTTGGTTTAGTGTGGTTAGGTTAGGTTGGTTCAGGTGTCCTCTTCATTGATGATTTCCACACTGGTTTAAGATCACCTGAAGACTACACACCTTAGCGTTACCTGGCGTTAGTTAGAGCAGGTGAGTTTTTTATACATTAATTTACGTATCAAGTTGATCCATTCTTAGAGGCTTAAAATTTAATCTCTTCTGAAAGACTATTTTGGTATCATGTCTCCGCGCCACCTTGTTACACCCGCCTCCTGCTACTCCAAGAACTGACTCGAATGTAACAATATTTAGGACTTATTCTTATCAGATCAAAGCATTAAACTCTTATAGACTTGAATAATGAACTCAGATACACAGCTTGTAATAGTGATTGATACACAGCGAGTTTCTCCCCCGTCCAGTTTGGTTGAGTTTGTCCTCCAGATAAACCGTTTTCTATGTTAGGGTTTATTTATATTATTGAGCCCTGATATTATTACGACTTCATTGCTTTCTATCTTAAATTTATTCTGACCTCTTCCCTTCATATATTCGATATTTTGACAGCTTGTGGCATGACAGGTGTGACAGTTACTAATATGACACGTGTGACAGCTTATCAAATGACAAGAGGTGCACTGGTGATGGTATACAAACAGCTGTCAGTTGTCATGTCGTGGTGTACCGTGCGTTCATCTGATGGATGGTCGATAAGTGACCTGTTGTGACCCTGTATATGACCTGTTGCTAAAAAATCTATTCTAAAGCTGTGAGATGTGAGGGGGTGGGTAGAGAGGGAGGAAGGCGGGGTGATGGTGGAGGGGTGACAGCTGGAGGGGTGAGGGAGGGTGAAGGGGTGAGGGAGGGAGGGTGTATAAATTTACCTACATAGTCCACTTTTTGGCTCCGTGACCGCGTTTCCTCCCTTGAGAATGTTGTCGAGAGTGAAACTGTGTTGGAGATCAGTCGACAAGGTCCATCTCTCTCTCTCTCGGTATAATTTTTCACCATTCACCAGTTTCCTTTCCGTCTACTTCATGCCCCCACACAGGTCCTATACATACGTGCACCTCCCAAATAAACAGTATCTGTGTATTTGTGAGCTAACCTTGTAAAGCCTTTCTCCCGGACCCCCATACTGCTGCTGTCCAAGGTCACTCAGATGTTAGGTTAGGTTACTCAGGTGTTAAACTAGGGTTAGGTTAGGTCAGGTCACTCAGGGGTTAAATTAGGGTTTAATCTTCACCTGAATGTTTGAGGAGCAGTGAGTTAAGTTTACCGTTGGTGAGGAGTGTTATACTGGGTAGTACAACGTCTGTATTCTGGAAGTAAATTTCAATACGTCATCAAAGTCGGAACTGTACCTGATGTGACCATGAGTAGCTCCGACCCTCACCCGGAAAATGGTCATGGTCACTTGCCTCCCATAAGGTCGCACTTCCCATACCCCTGGCAGGAGATTCCCGCCCCTACCTGTACTCGCGGCCTGGCACTGTCATGACCCGAGAGCCACTATTCAGCCCTAGCATTACCTGACATTTATTGGCGCTTCCCAGTTTGTTCTCTCTCTCTCTCTCTCTCTCTCTCTCTCTCTCGCGCGCGCGCGCGTGTCACTTTCATTATCACAGTGACAATCTCCTTCGCCTCCTCACCTTTCTCCTCCGACTCCTCGCTCCCCCTCTTTTACCTCCTCCTTTTCCATTTCATTATCATCCTCCTCCCTCTCATTCCCCCTACCTCTCATCGCCCCTCCCCTCCTCGCACCAGTCATAACACCGGATAACTAAGACACGAGAAACAGGAAGTTTGTGTGTATAAAACCAGGTTAAAAGCAACCAGATAGGATCAAGGAGGGTCACAGGGTCAGGAGAAGCACGTGTTGGGTCATTGGAGGAGTGTGGAGATGAAGGCCAGCTGCCCCTCCCACTTTGACTACCTGGTACTTTCACCCCTTGCCTCTCCCCACCTCTTCCCTTCTTCTCCTTCCCTTTCTCCATCACCTCTCCCTGCCCCCTCACTCATCATTTCATTACACTGGGCTTACCTCACTCTACCCGGGGTTAGGTTAGGTTGAGGCACCGTAAATGTGTATAATCATCATGTGAAATAAGCTTTGTTGTCGAATCTTCACATAACTCTTCCTCAGTCTTCCCCAGTCCCTCTCAACCGTCCCCAGTCTTCCTCGGCTTTCTCCGGCCTTCTAAGCTTCTCCCAAGTCACCAGCCAGTCATCGTCGTGGCAGGATTGTGGTTGTATCAGCTTACCTGTCCACCTTGTCTCCATCTCTACCTAAAATGTCCCTGAGTTCACCCCTCACCCCCCCCCTCCCCGCCTGCTGGGCGCCTCGGACCATCACCTCAACTACCACTATCAACCATCACTACCACTGACTTCAACCATCACTACCACTGACATCAACAATCACTACCACTGACATCAACCATCACTACCACTGACATTAACCATCACTACCACTGACATTAACCATCACTACCACTGACATCAACCATCACTACCACTGACATCAACCATCACTACCACTACCACTGACATCAACCACCAACCACTGCTACTACCACCAACCACTGTCACCACAACAACCACCCTCACCTACTATCACCACCTTTAACTTGTTGTGGCTTGAGATGATTGACTCGCCGCCTTTTGAACGTTCTTGGCCTACAGTCCTCGACCCACAACAAGCACTGCGGTGGTCCAAGGTATTGTGGACCTCTTGACCTAGTGTGTGGTGAGGACCTCTTGACGATTCATGAGCGTGGGCTGACATACACGAGTGTGGACTATAGCTGTAAGATAACATCGCTTCTCACTACTTCATTGTTGCCCTTATTTCAGACATACAGTAAACACATTGTTGATTTGGTTTATGGTTCCTACTTATTACCCCCAAGTCTCTCTCACATTCGGGTTTCTCTCTATCTTGTTCAGCTGATGTCTGGTTCCTCTGTTTACATTTCCTAGTCTTACAACTTTACATTTTGTCACTTAATTCCATCTGCCATTGTTCGCTCCATTCTCTCTATTTTTGTGTTGTCAGCTTATTTATTTACGTTGCTGCTCATGTCTATATCTGTGTCGTTACTGTATTCAGTATATAGATAGAAAAGGACCGAGTACTAAGCCTTGAGGTACACCGCTCGTGACGTTACCCCCAGTTGGATTTTGTACCATTTATGCTGACTTGTTTCTGGTCTGTTACTCATAACTTGATCCACATTACAATTTCCGCTCCAATGCTATCTGACTCCACTTTCGTAAGGAACTCTATCAAAGGTTTTCCTGAAGTCGAGGTACACAACATCTTAGTCGTGTCCATTGATTCAAAAACACTGATAATAATAATGGATTTGTCAGACACGAACAGCTTCTAGTGAAACCTTAATGAGAGTCTTGAGTGATGTGGTCTAGATGCGACACACAGATGTAGGTTGTCGTTAAAGGTGTGTAATTAATTAATAATTCATTTGACCTGGAGATCCTGTGACGACTCATTTAATTAACCCACTTGAGCATCAGGATTCTGCAGGGTGATGATGACGCCAGTTTATAGGGAGACTGAAATACTGCTTAGCTCTCGTCACACACACACACTCAATGAATCTCGTCGTGAATGTTTTTGGTCTGGGAAACAAAAAGGCCGAGAGACATTAATCCGGATCTATCCGGCTGGGAGATCAACGAACGGCGGCAACATTGTTTACAAACACAGGAGGTGGGTGAGTCAAGGCGGTCACCCGGGTCCTCTTGACATTTGACTCCCAGAAAAGTGGATTGTTAGCAAGGTCGGCCGGGGCTGTTGTTCATCTAGTTGTATATTGTTCAGTTGGGTGTTGTTCATCTGGTGAGTGTTGTTCATCTGGTGGGTATTGTTCAGCTGGTTCAGTAGGGTATTGTTCATTTGACCTCACTTCCTCTGATACATGGTGACCGAGTAAGTGTATAGACCAGCATCCGTTAAACAGGCTGTGCTGGTGACCTCTGTGTGGCACCAAACAGCCAGGAGGTCAGGAAGGTGCCGTCTCTGGTCCGGTCACCCCAATGTGTACACAAGGTGTTAAATCCGCTTCAGCCAGTTTGCTGTTATATCCAGGTCACGACGCGGTGGTGGAAGGTCGTGTTTGTTTGTTGTTTGTTTGGGTTATTTATACCGTTCATTCTTCGTTTTAATGTTAGGTTAGGTTTTATGAAGAGTTAGGTTAGGTTTTATGAAGAGTTAGGTTAGGTTAAATGTATCAAGAGTTATGGTAGGGCACTTTAGGTTAGGTTTACTGTATCGAGCTAGGGTATAGGTCAGGTTAATTTTATCAATATTTAGCTTAGGTTAAAATAGATCACGTTAATGTTTTATTTTTTCAACAATATATACATTTTTGTGATATAGATAGATAAATACTCAGTAAAATCGTCATAAAGGATCACATTGGCTCATTATATACATAGACATTACAGGTATACAAACAAAGGTAAACAGGAAGTCAATTTAACCACCAACAACAACCACCACAGAAAGCCATTAGTACTAAGACGCCACTTTTAATAGTTTATTTGGCAGACGCTTTCATTCAGCTCAGAGGCGACTCCGTACACGAGGGGTTAGTAGACTATCTTCAGTCCAGGGTTTTAATGTTTACGTTTCTGTTTGTTTCAGCAAGATGAGGCGACGACAGAGTTCAGACACGACCGACATGGAGCTGGACATGCCCACTGATCCCTACCTGCAGGTGAGTCAGTCCTCCTTATTACAGGTAAATCAGGTATATCTGTGTCTGACCAGGTATGTATCTGTGTCCGGCCAGGTGTATCTGTGTCTGGTCAGTTGTAGACGTGCCCCCAGGTGTAGAAGGATTTACCTGGGTTTAATCATGCTGGAAATTAGGTACTGTACAGGTATGTGTATCCCATTATACTACATTAAGAGTCTACCATGTTTATCAAGGTGTAGTGGGTGTGTGCGGATGTTGGGAGTATCGTGTACGTAGACAGTGTAAGTATACAAACAGTCGAGTAAAGGAAAAAATCCAAGAAAGCCGTAAAAACACCCTACTTGGATCGGGATCCTTATGCGAGAAGCACTAATTTAAACATGGAGTAATTTGAAGTGAGGATCTGCAATACATGTAAAGGGTATTATCGCCTTAGATATGTGTTGTTGAAGGGTGATTTATTTTCATTTTTTAAGATTTTCAATAAAATATAAACGATAAAAATTACTCAAGAGAGCAATAGGAATTGTTAACTTTGGTGGTGCAAGTCGGCCAAGGGGCGAAAAGTCAGGATTTTCTGAGTTATCCCTGTAATTTCTTCAAAGGTTGAACGTTTTCTTCGAATGTTTGTTAATATACTTACAGAAAACGACCTACTGATAATGGCGATTTAGGAGGATAACTTAGTCAATTTGAATATGATAGCTATACGTGTGATAAGTTTATTAATTAGAAGGGGACGGATACCCGGGGGGGGGGGGGGTGTCCGGACTCCCCCTTTTCACCATAAAATGCCAATACTACCTTTTCTTCAATGCAGTATTGTACTCAGGCGTTTTTGTGCAGTAAAAAGAAATTACTACTGTCCTCGGAATATCTCCTAATATCAAGTGCACATGGCTTCAAAATTCCCATAATGTTGGTCAGATTTAAAAAAAATTCGGGTGGGTTTACAGCCCCGCCTTTGATATTCCTGGATCCGCCTCTGATTAGTAATGAACTCTAGCTTGATAAAATTACGATAATTTATTTATAGTTTTTACGGACATACTTAAATATAATGTAATACGTTATATATTCTTTGACAAGGTACTACATATGTGTAAGGTTTGTAGAAACGATTTATGTAGCTTCAGTGGACACGAGTTTATTGACACTGCTGAAGGGATGTTTAAAATACATACATTCATACATATATACATACATACATCGAAAGATAGTCAGATATACATTATAGATCGATAAATATAGACACTATGATACTTTACTTCAATACTTCACTTTATCACCATTTTTATGTAGACTTTGACCTTCAACAGCACAAGTCTATCAATTTCTCATTTCCATGTTCTCATTACTGATCTATAAGTATCTGCTTGTACAGGAAATAATCTGAGGTCAATTGTACAAAGACTTAAGGTCATTTGGCCATGATGGATGTATTGACTTACGACTTGAGATGTTTGGAATAAACTGAGATTGTTTTTAAGATATTGGATGGAGAGAGGTTAGTATACCATGGATAGCTGTCAGTATACCATGTAGAGTTGTCAGTATACCATGTAGAGTTGCCAGTATACCATGGATAGTTGTCAGTATACCATGGATAGTTGTCAGTATACCATGGATAGTTGTCAGTATATCATGGATAGCTGTCTGCATCAAGCACCTCCTCCCCTTGTCAGTTCCACCATCGTTCCAGTCAGCCTCAGCCTCCGTGATTGGTGGTTGGGTATGACTGGCCCAGTGTGATTGGTACACTCTCCGTGATTGTACATAATCTGTGAGGTGGGAACAAATGGCGGTCACTTTTACCTCCCTGTACGAGCCAAAGGTTTGTTCCCTCTTTTTTTTTTACCCAGGAAGGACGTAGTAAAAATAACACGACCCTATCAGCTGGAGGTTTTGTTTTTCCCAGGGAAGAAGTCAAAGAGGTGGGGGGGGGGGTATTCACAGTACGGACAGAATATAACCTACAGGTGCCTTTTGTTTCTCCCAGCATGGATGTAAAGAGAGGGAATTTTCTTTTCCTAGGATGAACGCCATAGAAATATTGAACGCCTGGGAGGGGGGAGGAGGGTAATGAACGCATAACAAAAAAGTGAGTGACGTCAAACTCGAGCTGAAGAAGAGCGGGTGGGGGGGGGGACAACATCTTATAATGCGTTCTCTCTCTCTCTCTCTCTCTCTCTCTCTCTCTCTCTCTCTTTTCTATTTATAGAGAAGTTGTATTAAAGATAACGAGGGACGAGTTAAACCAGGGAAGAGCGAGAGAGAAATATATATTCTTGTTAACATTAAGTCAACTTGTATTTAATTAATCAAGCGTTAATAATTTATCATGAGTTTGTTAATTTTTCTGCCACTTTTATCTGATGTTCGTCTTATTTCTTGTCTGTCTTCATGCCTTCATTCTATTCTTCATTCCTTCATTATATTCTTTATTCCTTTATTCTATTCTTCATTCCTTCATTCTATTCTTCATTTCTTCATCTATTCTTCATTACCACCAGCTGGGGCCCTGAACACAGGCGCCCTTCGTATTGTCGTCATAAGCGATATGGTGTGTGTGTGTGGGGGGTTCTTGGAGGCGACACTTACCACTTTGTATTGTCTTAAATGGTGTATACTCGAAGCTTGTATTCATCAGGGACAAGACAGACACTTTTACAACCACTGGCAACTCACCTGGTCACTCGCCCACCTGCTATATGTTTATCCCCCTAATATGGAGGTAAATTAGAGCCTGGAAGATCGAGAACAGACGCATAATCGGACCGGGAAGAACAACTGATCTGCATTGAGGTGTTTGTGACGTGGTACAGTACCTCTCATCGCCTTGCTGTGGTTTTGGAACACATTGATAGATGGCGTTGGTGTTAGGGATTTGTTTCTTTAGTTAGAAGTGGTCATATAAAAAATGTGCCTTATTTCACGAAGAGTAAACAGTAACGAGAGATTTTTCATAATGAGGTCTCGTCCGCCAAGAGATATTTATTGAAATAATTTGTTTATCCATAAAAATACAGATACAGTAAAGACAATGACAACAATATTCTGTTTATTGTGATTTGTCTTCCATGAGCTGACACACGTGCAGTGATAAGATAAATTGACCAGTTGTACTCCTTTATACTTCTCAATCTTTACATTAGTACTTACCTTGAGTCCACATTACTCATGTACTGCCAGAGACACAGAATATTAACAGGTAGTATTTAGTCTCCACAGCAGTATTCGCCTTCAACTGACATTTATGATTTGTTTTTGTGTTGATGCATCGCTGTCTTGGCGGCTGCTGTTACCTTTGGAGGGTATAATTACTGTCAGCCTCAGGTGGGAGTCACGCAAGGTGCCGTTCCCCAAGGTTGGTAATGTGTGTGTGTACCCTCGCTGTTTCCAACCTGCATACCCCCCCCCCACCTCCCTTTTCCCAGGTCCCATCCCTTTCCTTTTCCATGTCACCCTTTCCCATACATTCCTCCATCTCAGCCACTCTTCTTTCCTTCCTCATTACTCCTCCACCTCATCTCCTCTCCCTCCCACCTCCTCTCCGCCTCCTCGCCCCCCCAACTTCAACTCTCCCTCTTTCCCAACCTCACTTCCCCAATCCTTCTTCCTCGCCTCCCTCTTCAATCTCTTCCTTCCCCCCATGGCCATCCCCTCACTCCCTTTGCCTCCTCTTCCCGCCCTCCCACTCGCCCACCTGACCGCCAATGCAATTCCCCGAAATCCCTCCCTCCTGGCTCAACCCAACTCCCTCCCCCGGTTCCCAAACTCCCACCTGCCCCTCCCTTCCCAACTCCCTCTTTTCTCCCAATACCGTCCCCACCCCTTCCCCTCCCTCCTAACCTATCTACGTCACTGCCAGCCTCACGAGGTCGCTTACACACAATACCGAGAACAAGACAATCCTGTTCTTTACCCGGATTCCCTCTCGCTCCCGGGGTAAATTTCCCTCCTCGCTGGAGATGTGAGTCTAACCTGTTGACCTTTTCAACGCTAATTACTCGCCACCTATGGTTTTTCAAGGTCACTTTTTGATGTTTGTGTTATCCTGGCTGTAGTGTACAGTGTAGGACTCCTGAACATGGTGATTAATATTCCTCCTTTACTGAGCACATGGGCACGTGTTTTATCTGCCTCGCTCACTGTCTGGACGCTGACGACTGTGAGGGTAACAGAGGCTGACTGTGTTGCTGGTGACTGAGGGTAACAGAGGCTGACTGTGTTGCTGGTGACTGAGGGTAACAGAGGCTGACTGTGTTGTTGGTGACTGAGGGTAACAGAGGCTGACTGTGTTGTTGGTGACTGTGAGGGAAACAAAGGCTGACTGTGTTGTTGGTGACTGTGAGGGTAACAGAGGCTGACTGTGTTGCTGGTGACTGTGAGGGAAACAAAGGCTGACTGTGTTGTTGGTGACTGAGGGTAACAGAGGCTGACTGTGTTGTTGGTGACTGAGGGTACAGAGGCTGACTGTGTTGTTGGTGACTGAGGGTAACAGAGGCTGACTGTGTTGTTGGTGACTGTGACTGGGAAACAGAGGCTGACTGTGTTGTTGGTGACTGTGAGGGTAACAGAGGCTGACTGTGTTGCTGGTGACTGTGAGGGAAACAAAGGCTGACTGTGTTGTTGGTGACTGAGGGTAACAGAGGCTGACTGTGTTGTTGGTGACTGAGGGTAACAGAGGCTGACTGTGTTGTTGGTGACTGAGGGTAACAGAGGCTGACTGTGTTGTTGGTGACTGTGAGGGAAACAGAGGCTGACTGTGTTGTTGGTGACTGTGAGGGAAACAGAGGCTGACTGTGTTGCTGGTGACCTCGGCTATTAAACCCAACACGTAAGTTTTATAACCCGTCACAAGGCTGTCATGGTGTTGCCTTATCTTGTACAAGAAAAACATACCATCAGGTTTTGTACCAAGCTGACGATGACGTGGAGGGAGGGAGGGGGGGGGTAAGGTGAACAGGAAATGAACAAGTGTTATACAGGTGTAACATGTGCTACCTGTGTTTCCTGTGTTATTAACGTCCGTGTTATATCCTTGGTGTTATTAGTGCTGTGTTGTTATTATCCCACGCCAGGCCAAGGTGAACCACTAAATGTTGTATATGTTTGTTTGTCAACTTATCTATCCGTCCACGCGTCCCTCCATCCGGCAGTGCGTCCCTTCATCGTTCCGGCCAAATCTAAGGTCATTTCATTATACACTAGATCATGACTCATTAATTACCTTAATACCTCAGGTCAGGTCAGGTCAGGTCATGTCACCATTTAGTTTCCATGGCGACGAAGTGAGGGGTGCGGTGCTGTCAATTCGTCTTTGTCGTTGTTTGATTAAATATGGTGTTTATTTTGTTATTCATATTATCCCCGTCACCGCTCAGGGGGATATAGAATTGCTTGGCGTCTGTGTGTGTTTGTATCGCGTGTGTTGTGGGTTAGTTAGTGCGTCCATCTTTGGGTGAGTGTTTTTGCATGTGACCGACTTTGTGACCAGAATAACTAGCAAAAACCTGTCAGTGAAATTTGACTAGACCGTAATAATAATAATAATAATTAACGGTTTATTGAAAGAGTTTGGCAGCCAGAAGGCTGAAAATATACAGTTACATATTTGGGGAATGGGTTTCGAATTACAAATAATATACAAGTAACATAAGTGATACAAATAAGACATATAATAACTAGATGGGGAAAAGCTCAAACTACAGTGCATTTCAACATAGTGACAGTGCAAGGAGTAGTGTTTACTGGGAGTGAATACACTGGTTTATTACAAGTTATTGATAATTTTTACAATGGTTGGGACTGGGCTGTTCTTATAGCGATCAGTTCGTGCACGTATGGGCTGGATGCGGTTGTGGTTTCGAACAGCAATTCGTGGACGAGGGATCTCAGGTGGTAGTAGGAGCCGGTGTCGAGGATGGTGTAGAAGCTTCTTACCAAATTTGCAGATGGGGTCGTGGTGATGGTCAGTGAGAGTCGAAAGGGTCAGTGTGTTGAGCGCTTCTTGATATGTGGAGTGGGAAAGGGAGAGAATAATCTTGCATGCCCTCTTTTGCACTTTTTCTAGGTGTTTACGTTGTGTGGCATTTAGGGAGGAAGACCAGGTAGGGGAGGCATAGGTGAGCTTGGGAAGTATGAATGTTGTGTAAACACTGAGGAGCTCGGGTGCAGGAACTCCGAGGGACTTGAGTCGGCGGAGGAGGTGGAGACGGAAACTGGAGGATTTGACAACTTCACTGACGTGTGGTTTCCAATTTAGTTTGTTGTCTATGGTGACGCCGAGGAGCTTCGTGGAATCTACAACCTGGAGTGTGTTCGGACCTAAAGTAATGGAAGGAGGTGGGACAATGTCGGAGGAGAGGTTGATGTGCATAACCATGGTCTTGGTATGGTTGATGGTGACATGGTTGTTGGTGGCCCAGTTTTGGAGACTGTTCAATAAATTCTGAAGGGCGGTATAGTCGGGAGCAGAATTGTTGACGCTGATCCCAATGGTGGAGTCGTGTGTGTGTGTGTGTGTGTGTGTGTGTGTGTGTGTGTGTGTGTGGCAAGAGGACTAATGAGAAGATGATGCGTCTTTCGTCATCACCATGACCATTCCCACCATCACCATCACCATCACTACCACCATCACCACCAATATTGTTTTCTCTTTAACACCAAAGAGTGAATTTGAACTTTAATTGAAAACAAGGAAATATGTGAAGGTTTTATGAACAAGTTTGTATTTATGAGGTAGTAATGGGGGGAGGGGGTAGTTAGGGGTGGAGGGGGTAGGGAGGGGGAGGAGTGGTAGTAGTAGGAGCAGGGCCGGATTCAGGAGTGGGCAAAGTGGGCAGCTGCCCAGGGGCCTCCACAATCTGGGGGCCTCCACATGTTACAATATTTTATTTATTTGTTTATTCATTTGGATTATTTTTATTTTCATTCTTTAAAATTCATGTTTATCTATTCCATCACGTAAAACTATGTTCAGCAAGAAGCGTGATAGAAATTAGGCTGGCTACTCCTTGAAATTCATGAATACCTGGTTTTCCTATGAACCGTATATTTTTAATATTTTTAATATAACTGCATATGGCTTCAAATTTCTCCAAAGAAGTGTTTAGACTCGCTTCACTCGTCACCCCACCCTCTTGGGTAGTTATAATGAGGGGGCCTCCACAAAGAGGCTGCCCATGGGCCTCCACAGGTCTAAATCCGGCACTGAGTAGGGGTGGGGAAGGGAGGGAGGGTGGGTGGGTGTGATGTCCTCTTTTACTAGTGTTCCACCACTCTAGATGTCCTCAGTATTATGGCTTAACTCTAAGAGCCCATAAACCTCCACTAGAGCTTAGGTTTGTCCTCTATCGTTGTATAAGACGCCTTCTAGAGCTTTAGAACGCGCCCACTAAAACTACGACCGCTCACGAGAGCTGCAGATGATGTTTCTTGGGGTGACTAGTGTAGTGCTAGGGACCTCGAGGCGCCTATTACCAAGCAATGTGTCCTGAGGTGTAAAAAATATGTTGAGAACACCTTTTGTGGTATGTGAGGGACTTCCCCCATGTGTGTGTGTGTATACACGCGAGGGAGAACCAAGGTTCTCATATACGCACTTAAGAACAGAAGTACTCGAACCTTGCAACCGAGGCGTAGGGTCAGTTTGTAGTGAGGCAGCTGATTGGCTGACGGGCGGATTGTTGTTACTCTTGTGTGTCCATCCGCCAAACAATCAGCTGTTCCTCTACAAACTGACCCTAGGCTGCGAGTGAAGACTATAAGTAACCCTGTTTGCACTCAACCCTTATCACTCAGAGAGACAGAGGCCGGGCGGGACACACCTCACCTCCCACCAACACAGTCAAAGGGCCAGTTGTTTAATATAGACTGTATCAAGGGTGACATCTGGTGGGCGTAGCATACCTTCTTTACTCCGGGACCTGATGAATGCCCACACCGTCGCTCCTTACTGCCCATAGGTTGTCATCAGGGGGTTAGGTTAATTCTTCCAGTTGTCTCCTTATCGGATTTTATCCCCCTTCTTTACAATGACAACTTGGGGTGTTAAGTCATCGCATTTAAGGGGTTGCGTTATCGTACTCAAGTCGTCGTAGTTGAGGGAATTAAACAAAGAGAGAGCATTACTATAAACCGGATTTCTCAGATAACAGTTTATCAAGCAGAGACAAATAACACCTGGTCATTTTTCTCACAGGATGAACAAAAACTGAACCTTAATACAGTATGTCAGTTTCACAAATAACAATAACTACAACACCAGCCAAATTTATTTTACTTTAAAACAAATTAATATAACAAAAGAAAATAGTTGAAAATTTCGTAATAACTAAAAGAAAAGTTATTGTCCTTACTAAAAGGTTAAAGTTAATACGTCTTGGACTTTACAATATCGCTTTTCATCCCAGGGAAAGAAAGATACGTTGATGACGAGGCAAAAGATATTCAACACACAATCTCTCTTTAAGGCGAAAATTCCCTGCTAATTCATCCCAAAAGAGGCTTACTGCTTGTGTTATATTATGTCCGGGAGTAAGTTAGGTATTGTGTGAGGTTTACGTCATGTAAAATGGCGTCTGGAGAGGGCGCGGGGGTCCATGATTCATCCCGAGTTAAGGTTATCGCTGTTGACTGTCTTACTGAGAAGATGACTCGAATATTTACTCCTAGTTATGTATTTACAGCGACAGGTTAGGTTAGCGTTGTGTTAGATTAGGTTAGATTAAGAACATAAGAAAATAAGGAGTCTGCAATAGGCCGGTTGGCCTGTGCATGGCAGCTTCTGTTTACAGTTACAACCACTCTCTATCATCCATGAATCTATCTAGCCTCCTTCTAAAACTTTCCAGCGTTCCAGCACCTACTACAGAGTTGCAAAGCTTGTTCCACTCGTCTACCACCCTAAAGTTAAAGTAGGTTAAAGTTAGATTTGGTTTATGTTAGTACACGATGGGGCCATCTGGTGTGTGTGTGTGTGTCTGTCATGTAACTTGCCACATACACCCCAACACGTCACTGCTAGGGTGTAATATACATCATAATATTGGACGGAGCGCATATTTGTCTGTCTGTCTGTGTCCCCTCCAGCACTGACACGAAGGGGCTGAAGCCACACGAAAGCTACACCGGCCACCTACTTCATTTGAACCTTCACCGCCATCTAAACCTTATCATCATCTCCCAATTTGTTTTTGAACCTTTATTGATCGTTTTGACTCTTGTTTTGAAACCTTTAGTGATTGGTTTAAACTCCAGATGTCCATATTCTGAACCTTTATTGATTGTTTTGAACCCCGACCTGCTTGTATTGAACCTTTGTCTATACTTTTTTAAATCACTCTCTTGATCCTCCGCCTACTGTCCTCACCCTCTCCCCTGAACCCTCCCTTGAACCCTCCCTCCTCTGAACCCTGGTATATGACACATCACTCATGATACGGTATATGACACAACACTCATAACGGTATAGCGGTATGACACAAAAATATCTTGACACATTACGTTAGTGCTGTGTCATAGGGTAACAGCGAGGTACATGACACGACAGGTAACAGCGTACCCTACCCTCTCTCGTACCCTACCATCTCCCGTACCCTACCCAACGCCCGCATATCCTGGCCAAACCAAAGCGCAGTCACCTTGGAGAAATTCACACATACACACCTAACTCCTCCAGGTAGCGTTAAGGTGTTTCATTATCAGGTGAACTAAGCTGGGGAGAGGTTTCTAATCTTCAGGTAATCAGAATATGAAAAATGAAGACTGATTTTGCAAGTATGAGGTCGTGGTGGCTGGTGATTGGCGGCTCGTGATTGGTGGCTAGTCAGTTCAAGGAGATAGTGGGGGTGTTGTGACAGAGAAAAACCTGTGAATGTCCCAAGTTTTGTGAGGTTGATTACTGACACGCTTACAAACATACCTAACCATACCTAACCATACCTCACCTCACCTCACACGCCGAAGGCAAGATTGTCGCAACTGAAAAGAAAACACACACACACACACACACGCAATACACGATCCTTGAAAATAATTACTTTTGCGGGGGCCTGCATGACTCTACACACACACACACCTGGTAACCACTAAGACCTCTAAATTACCTCACAAAAGCTTCTCACCTATTGAGGCTGTCAGGTGGTGGGGGGGGACTCCTCTCCTCCTCACCCACCTGGCAGACGCCCACACACCAGTGATGTCATCCTTGAAGATAATCCTCGATCATGTGTAGGAAATAATGTACTGAATGACTTGAGTTATAACTAAAGGTTTTAATGCTGTTGAAGGGCAGTAGTTGCCCCCCAGCCTCCCGGAGTACAGTTGAAGGTGTTACTCCAAGATTATCCTCCGAGTGATCTGTTTGAGTACGGTGACGTTGTACTCAAGGGGTTATGTCGTCGTGCTCAAAGGGTTAACATATACAAGAGAGAATTTACAACACCAATGGTAACTGAATGTAAATGAATCCTGTCTCACCCCTCTCACTTCTCTTCCTCACCTGTCTCCCTCTCACACCCTCACTCTCCCTCACCTGTCAACCTTACTCCTCCCTCACTTCTCAACCTCACTCTCCTTTACTTCCCTCACTTCTCAACCTAACTCCCCCACTCCACCCCTCTCCCCGTCAGCGTCATAACCTCGCCCATCTTGCTCTTACAAGTTTTAATAAGAGAGGAAATGATCATGAATATATTATCAGAAGAGAGAACTTGTCCAGATCACCCGAGTATAGTTTTAAAAAAAGTTCACTTCCTTGATGTGTTGGCTGATGATATTGACGGCGGACAGATAAGTACTGGCTGCTTTTACCTGTTGACTGGCCTTCCACACTCTCGCCTCGTTTGTGGTAGTGGTCGTGTGGTGATGCTAGAAGTGAGGGTGCTGGTGGTGTAGTGGTTGTGGTGGTGTAGTGGAAGTGAGGGTGCTGGTGGTGTAGTGGTTGTGGTGGTGTAGTGGAAGTGAGGGTGCTGGTGGTGTAGTGGTTGTGGTGGTGTAGTGGAAGTGAGGGTGTAAGTGGTGGTGGTCCGGGCTGTGTAATCCTGCACGACAAGTTTGTGATTCTCAAATAATTATCAATTAAAGAATTTTCTAGGTCCTCTGGGAAGACGAGAGAGAGAGAGAGAGTCACTAATAGTCACACACCATTGGTAAGAGGTCTTCAAGCGTGCGATGGAGGTGTTAGGGCGATATATAAAGAGATACAGATGGATATACTGTATATATTGATAGACAGAAAGATAGATAGATAGATAGATAATATTCAAGACAGTCACACAGACACACACTAAGTGCTGTAATAGCAGGTGATGGAAGTGTTAGTGGGGAACCTGTTTGTGGCGGCGGCGGGGATTTCCAGGTTATGTCTGACCCATCAAGTGTGTGTGTGTGTGTGTGTGTGGTTTGGGAGACAGACAGACAGAGAGAGTTTTAGTTCAGTACCTCAGCCTCAGAAGGTGAAGGACATCTTTCCAAGTCCCACTCTAACTGGTCTGCTTTATTTACAGTCATACTCCAGTTCTTGTTACAGTCACCACCTTGTTTTAAAAGCCATATGACTGATCAATTAGACAATCACTGTGTTTTTATAAGCCAAGTGACTGACCAGTTAAAGTCAATGTCTTTTTCTCAGCTTTTGGCATTTTGTAGGCAACAATAAAATCCCAAGTTTCTCTACCAAATTATAGGACAGGTGTGAAGGTAAAAACTGACAGGCAGTAAGAATATTCTATGACAGTATGACCACCGCATGACAGTACCAGTCAGGCCCTCACATGACACACAGGACTTTCCCCTTGGTACTTGGTCAACACACTGCTGGGGTCCAGAACACACTCGTGAGCCAGAGAAGGTGAACGTACAACAGGTGGATAATTAATGACGACTCACACCTGTCAACATTTCACTATTTTCAGTTAGTTGAGAATACACAGCCTTGGTGTTTCTGCTGGACTAACTTGTTACAGGGTGGGTGTTGTAGGGTGTCGCAGGGTGTAGGAGGGTGGAGGCGGGTGTAGCGGGATGGGTATTGCAGGGTATAGGAGGGTGTTGCAGGGTGGAGACGGGTGTTGCGGTGTTGCATGGTATAGGAGGGTGGGTATGGCAGGGTGTCGCCGTACCAGCGTCGGATAAGATGGCGGCAACCCTTAGGCCATGAAAACATGCAGCCAGTCAAGTTGCCACGTTGTGCTTTCCAGGGTCCTTTCATGATCCTTCCAGCGTCTTTTCATGGTCCTTCCAGGATCTTTTCATGGTCCTTTCAGCGTCCTATTTTGGTACTTCCAGCGTCCTTCCAGCGTCCATTCAGGGTTCTTTCATGGTCCTTTTAGCGTTTTTTCAGGGTCCTTTCAAAGTCCTTCCAAGGTCTTTCCAGGGTCCTTTCAGCCATCAATGTTTGCTCTTGTTCTCAAACACGGATAGATTCTCGACGTCTCACATCCGCTCGATTAAGAACCCAATGTATCGTTAAAAAGTGAAGGTTAGGTTAGGTGAAATAAGCTGGGGTAGAGATTCTTCAGGTGATCCGTAGTAATTTGGTAATACACAAATCAGATGCATTTATAGTACGAGGTGTGTGTGTGTGTGACGCAGAGAGTCAGTCAGTTGTTGGTGGTTGTCTTTATGCTGCAAACTTCGATGACGTTATGTTTTAAAAGTTGTTTTGAGTGTATGGGGGGGGGGTTTGAAGTATTTAATGACGGTTCTGTATAAGTGTGAGAAGGCCATCCATCTTACCTTCACACTCTCTCTCTCTCTGCTTGCCTTCCCCCTGTCTTCGTTCCCCCCCTCTTTCCGAGCATGCCTCCCTCCCTGTCCCCCTCCCTTCCCTACCTGCCTCCTCCCTGCCCTTCCTTGCCCTCCCTCTTCCTTCCCTGCCTGCCTGTCTGCCTGCCGCGGCGCTGGCCAAGCGTAGGAGTCCTACAAGCCTGCAGGTGAGTTTTAGCCATGACTGGAGAAACCTCGTTGACCCTAACACACGCTAAGTTCACTGCGTGTGTGTGTGTGTGTGTGTGTGTGTGTGTGTGTGTGTGTGTGTGTGTGTGTGTGTGTGTGTGTGCAGGTCCCTTATTGTTGTATCTCTTGTGTTTGTTGTTTGCTGTTGTTAGTTGTTGTTGTTTTATGTATTCTGTATTAAGCACGTACTCAAGAAGTTAAATCATCGCACCCAAGGGGTTAAAGTCATCGTTCTCAAGGGGTTAAACCATCGTCCACCGGGTTAAATCGTCGTACTCAAGATGTTTAAGTAAGTACTCTAGTGAGTCTAGTTCACACACTATAGATCTACACACACACAGCTCTGTAGTTGACTATCTACGGGTCTGAGCGCCATCTACAGTGACCCTGAGGAACCTAAAGGTACTGTTGTGAAATACTTTTGTTACCACCAAGAAACCGCACCTACTCTTCCTCTCTCGGCCGTGTCCTTCCTCCTTCGTGTGAGATGAAGGTAAGATGTCCCCTGACCGTCTTACACACACACACACACACACACACACACACACACACACACACACACACACACACACAGGGGAAATGATCGCGTGTGTACTGATGTTGTGAATCATAGTAATAGCACCACAGAAAGTTTTTGATAATATTTGGTACAAGACACAATGAAGAGCTTGTTATTACGCTGAGAGAACCTGTGTGTATATAGCAGTTAGGATGGCGATAGTGGTGGGGATAGTGGTGTTGATGGTGGTGTTGATGATGGAACTTGTGGGTGTCAGCAACTGTTGGATGATGTCATGGTGGTGGTGTCAACTTTCTCTCTTCAAATGATGTCAGTCTACTCGTCATCCTTAAGTGTTGTCAGTCTACACTCCCCCTCCCACCCCTCCCTCCCCCCCCTCCCTCCTTCCTCTCCTCTCCCCCACTCTCCCTCCCTCACCCCCCAACACACATTAAGAGCCTGGTAAACAATGGAATATAATTATCTTTTAAATTATTTATCTTTACATCCTTGGTTAAATCAACTTATTGTTTACCATTGTTTGTATACCTGTATTTGTCTATGTGTTTTGTTTGTTTACCTGTGCTAGAGTGTATATTGTTTGTATATCTGTGTTGTCTATGTATGTATACCTGTATTGTCCATGTATATCGTTTATAAACTTGTACTCTCTATGTATATTGTCTGTATACCTGCTTTGTCTATGTATATTGCCTGTATACCTTTTTGTCTATCCATATTGTCTACTTACCTGTATTGTCAACGTACAGTGACCCTCAAAAGTCCCGTTCGCCTCTCCCCCTGAACCACGAACCCCGAGATTCAGACCTGTGAACCCGGAGCAGTAGACTGATGCATTATTCTGTCCATAAATGTTTCGGATTCACGAGTCTGAATATCTCAGGGATCGTGACTGTACATGATGAACCAATGTAAACATGTATGACGACTTTACTAAAAATAATCTATATCTATCTATCTATGTATCTATCTATTAATCTATCCATACCTGTTTATTTTCCTCTGCCTGGCCTCAGCTGGCCTCGGTGACGTCATCTGTCCATAGAGAAAAATAGCAAATAATCGTGTTCTGTAGACGATATTCTGTGACGTCACGTACACCCTTGGGAGGAGAACTGGGGGAGGGTTGGGGGAGGGGCAGGTAAGGGTCACCTCCACAACAACAATAATAATAGAGGACTGAGTCGTCTCTGTCTCACCCACAACCAGAGAGGGAAAGACTGTTGGAGAGAGAGAGAGGGAGAGAAGAAGGAAGGAAAAAACGAGACGACAGATGAGAGAGTTAAAAAGAGACAGAATGGAAGATGGTGGTGATGGTGAGAAGAAGAAGACGTAATTGTGGAATGGATCATGTGCCAGGCTCGTGATGGCCCCCCCTCCCCCTCCACTCTCCCTCCTCTTCCTTCCCCTCCTCCATAGTGGCGCCAGACCAGCTAGCCAGTCCGTCGCTCTCTCTCTTTCAGGCTCAGAGGAAGTGACGTCACACCTCGGGAATTTCTTAAGAAAAGTTCTCCTGTTGTGAGTTTCAGCTGTAAACTACTTTTTTGGGGGTGCAGCGGGCCCTTGTGGGGGAGAGTTTGGACTATATGACAGTGTGTGTGTGTGTGTGTGTTTCTGTGTGTGCATCTGTTTCTGTGTGTGCATTTGTTTCTGTGTGTGCATCTGTTTCTGTGTGTGCGTCTGTGTCTGTATGTGTGTCAGTGTGCGTTCGTGTGTAAGCTAGTAAGGTGTGTGTTCGTGAATGTGCAAGATGATGAGGTGTGTGTTCGTGTGTGTGTAAGATGGTTAGGTGTGTATTCGTGTGTGCGTAAGATGGTAAGGGGTGTGTGTGCGCGCGCGCTGAGCCATGGCCGCAGTATATAAGGCGGTGAGGCCATGCACCTACTCTCAGGTGTGCGGCGTGGTGGTGTAGTGGTGGCAGGGAGCGGACGGTGCGTGGCTCTAACATACTGTAGCCGAGTGTTGGTGAAGACATCAGCAGCGGCCGCAACTAACTCAGTGTTTGTGTTCCTAGACTCATGTTACATATACTGTACTTTACATACTCTGAGTAAAAGAGCCTTACCGGCCCTGGGAGTGTTGCCCGCCTCTAGTGCCACCCACTACTAACACTAACTGTACCACTTTAACATTTGCTGCACTTTTTGAGGATCACCACGAGGACTATAATAATACTCAGTGGTGGAAGCCTTACAGGGCTCGAGTGTGAGCTACTGAGGAAGAGTTTTTCTGTGTGAGTAGAACCTTCCTTTTGTGCCGGCCACCATGACGGTCTGTGATGGTGAAGTGTTGACCATGTCTCCGTCTGAAGATGGTCCGCCTAAGAGAAAGGACGCCATGAGTCCTGGAATGTTCAAGAGAAAATATCTACGTAAAATCTTCGTGCCACCGCTTCCCAAGATGACTGTGGACCAGGAGTCGAGAGTCGGGTCGTCCTCAGCCGGCGACCAAGAGGGCAGTGTGTCACTCTCCTGCCACCCTCCTATGACACCCCCAGCCCAGCGACACATCGTCAGGACACCTGCTGACGACGACGTTCTGCCCGGGTCAGAAGCGTCTCCGAGTGTTACCTGCAAGAGGAAAGAGGCGGCCAGTCCTGGAGGAATAAAGAGGAAATACCTTCGTAAAGTTGTTGTGCCGCCGCTCCCGCAGCTGATGATTAACAGCAGCCCGGTGAGTGACGCTCCTGCTGCCGCTTCACGTCATCACCAAGATCTTATTGACCAATCCTCCCTCGACCAGCTGGACCCCACCACCGCTCCTGAAGGCGAGACGGTGACGTCGTCTCTAGCTAATTCAGACAAAGAAAAAAAGGCAGCGGCCAGACGTGAACAGTCAAAAACTGAATATCTTGTTCAGGTTTCTCTGCCATTATTGACTGTGAACGGAACGTGCATCAATGTGGATGATCAGGCCGGGTCACCCTCACCTTTTGAACAAGGGCTGCCGGACCACACAGGCCCCGACCACCTGTCTCTGGAGCACACGCTCTCACTAGCCTCCGAAGGCGAAGTGTCGTCCACCTCCCCTGGTGCACCACGCAAGAAGAAAAGGTCGTTTAGTCCTCGGATGATAAAAAAGGAAATTGCTAGAAAAATTGGCCTGACAACTGGTCCAAAGGCGACGGTGAGAGACAGAAGCGTCAGCCCAAAGCCCAGAGCGGAGTCCTCCCCTGTTCATCAGGTCCCCACATCTAACAGTGACGAATCACTGGGCGCTCCGTCTAGGAGAAAGGAAATCACAAGTCCAAAAGTGTTGAAAAAGAAGTACATTAACAGAGTTGTGGCGCCACTGTTGCCTCACTTAACTCTCAATGGAAAATCCGTCAGCCAGGAGCCCATGGATGAGACACCCTCAGCTTTTGAGCAAGAGCTTGCAGACCAGGAGAACCAGTCCCCCAACGACCCCGAGTTTGTTCGTCGCGCCTCCCAGCGGTGGCAGCGTAAGACGGGCGCCATTCACCATCAATCTTTCCAGGTAGCGAGTCACTCCGGGAACCTCGACATGCTGCTCCCCATCCAGTGCACCAAGTTTGAGTGGCCGACCAGCCCGAGTCAGCAGTCAGCCTTCCAGCGACGAGTGTCTACTACCCAGCCCATCCACTATCTACCATCGTCCCCCTTCATGTCCCCTCCCACGCCGCCCACACAGAGAGCCTCCGTCAACAGTTCCCACTTCCAGAGAGGAAGTAAACAGTATTGCTCCATGTACACACGACCCACCGGCCTGGAAGATTCTCCATTCCAGAGATCCAGCAAGCTGTATTCTTCTATGTTCACACGAGTCACTGGGCTGGAAGACTTAGCTTTTCAACGATCCTCGCGTCGGCAACAGCAGAGAAGCTCCAGTCTCGTGCCTCCTGACACTACAACAGGTAGCAGCAACAGCAAGTCAACAGAAAAGAGGAAGTCTAGCCTTCAGCTGTTCCTCGTGCGGCGGAGTTCCTCTTCCGAGAGGCCGAACAAAACGTCGACCAAGACTCGGCCGGTCAAACTCAAGCGTCCGGAGCGTCTCGCCCTGGACGACAGCGTGGCCGAGGAAGTGCGTCGAGCAGCGAGGAGAGAGGAACCATTTCGCCGCCTCAGTGTCAGAATACGCAAGTCTCTCAGAGTACCTACATGGAGCCGCTCCTCCTCCCACAATCAGTTGCTACCCAACTCCTCCTCCTGCCACAGCGGCCTCAGTGCCCTCAGCTCAGCCTCCTGCCTCATTTCCCTTAGTACCCTTGGCTCAGCCTCCTGCCACAGTGGCCTCAGTGCCCTCAGCACGGCCTCCTGCCACAGCGGTCTCAGTGCCCTCAACTCGGCCTCCTACCACAGCGGCCTCAGCTCCCTCTGGGACGATTCTTGTGCCTCTTCTACATGCTCCTCGCCTTCGTCCAGCTTCTCGTGGACGTCACCGCCGTCGTCACCGTCAGCGTCACGGACTCCACCACAACACATCACCTTCCAGGACATCTTCGACGCTGAGCCTAAAATCGCGGAAAAATTTGTGCGTATGAACTTGACTTCACACACACACACACACACACACACACACACACACACGTAGGTACTAAACGTGTGTACCTAAACTACCCAAACACGACTGTAGGGTTCCGGGATAGACTTGGGTTGGTATGGGTACGTTTGGTTGTCCGGATAATGTCCTTGTTCGGGTGTCCATATATCTTTGTTCGGGTGTCCTTCGGGGTGCTCCTAGCCGACCCAGCTGTAAAATAGTACCTAATCATACAGTTGGGCGAGTGGTGGGAGGCCAGACCCAGGTAGAGTTTTATTGGGTTTTATTATCACTTACCTTTAACCTGTTCCTTATGGGCCGTGGAGGGTATATAGGGTCGGACCTCGTTACCTTGGTGTGACCTCATGGTGAGTCATATTCTAGGTCCGTTCAGGTACATAAGAACATAAGAATGGAGGAAACTGCAGCGGGCCTATTGGCCCCTACTGGGCAGTCCCGTTTACACCCAACCCCTATTGCTCATATGAGCATCCAACCTATGTTTGAAGCAATTCAGCGTATTCGAGTTAATTATGATATTTGGTAACTTGTTCCATTCATCCACTACTCTGTTTCCAATCCAGTGTTTACCTATTTCACGCCTAAATCTAAATTTGTCTAATTTAAAACCATTGTTACGAGTTCGCTCCTGGTTGGATAATTTGAGTACCTTTGTAATGTCCCCTTTGTTTAGCCCTGCCTTCCACTTATACACCTCTATCAGGTCGCCCCTGGCTCTACGTCTCTCGAGGGAGTGCAAATTAAGATGCTTTAACCTGTCTCTATACTCAAGGTTCCTAATGCCCGGGATTAGTCTTGTCATTCTCCTCTGAATTCTTTCCAAGGATTCTATATCCATTCTGTAATACGGTGACCAGAACTGAACTGCGTAATCCGGGTGTGGTCTCACAAGAGCAAGATACAGTTTTAGGATGACCTCGCTAGTCTTGTAACTAACACTCCTTTGTATGAACCCAAGTACTTTATTAGCCTTGTTACGAGCAAAAACACTTTGTTTACTTGGCTTAAGGTTCCTACTTATCATTACTCCTAAATCTCTCTCGCAGTCGGATTTCTCTATGGCATCGTTGTTCATCTGGTATCTGGTTTCCCTGTTTACATCTCCTATACTGAGTACTTTACATTTGTCGACATTGAATTTCATCTGCCATTTTTCAGACCATTGGAAAAATTTGTTTAGATCTTCCTGTAGTTTTGCCGAGTCCTCGTCAGATTTGATAACACGTCCTATTTTAGTGTCATCAGCAAATTTACTTATGTTGCTGTCTATGCCGATATCTATGTCGTTTATGTATATAATAAACAATAATGGTCCAAGTACTGAGCCTTGGGGAACTCCACTTGTGACGTTGCTCCAATGGGACTTAGTGCCGTTAATGCTCACTCGCTGTTTCCTGTCCTGTAACCACGCCCTAATCCATTTAAGGATGTCACCTTTGATGCCATGAGCTTCTACCTTTCTAATTAGTCTTTCGTGGGGACTCTGTCGAAGGCTTTGCTAAAGTCGAGATATACCACATCATAATTGTGCCCCTCGTCCACTGATTCGAAAACTGATGAAAAGAATGTTAATAGATTAGTTAGGCAAGAACGTCCGCTTGTGAAGCCATGCTGGGAATCATTGATCAATCGGTGCTTCTCCAGGTGATTTCGAATAGAGTTTGAAATGATTGCTTCCAGTAATTTGCCTACTATTGATGTTAGACTGATTGGGCGGTAGTTAGAGGATAGTGATCTATCCCCTTCTTGAAAATCGGTATTACATTCGCTATCCTCCAGGATTCTGGTACTACACCTGTTTTTAAGGACATGTTAAACAACTTTGCTAAGGGCATACTAAGCTCTTCCTTACATTCCTTTAATACTCTGGCAAATATATCATCGGGACCAGGTGACTTATTAGGCTTTAGTTTGTCTATTTGCTTACTAACATCGTTACTAGTCACTACTATCTCACTTAATTTGTTTTCTTCACTATCTCTGAATAGAGTCGGTGCCTCGGGTATCATGTTTAAATTTTCGGTGGTGAAAACTGTTGAAAAATATTATTGCTCATTTCTCCGTCGTTATCAGTGAGCTCGCCGGAGTCTGACCGTATTGGTCCAATCTTTTCTCGTGTATTAGTTTGATACATTTGGTAGAATCCTTTGGGGTTTGTCTTCGCCTCCCTTGCTATCCTTACCTCATTATTCCTCTTTGCTTTCCTTATCTCGGTTTTAACCCTACTCGCCAATACCCTATAATAGTCCCGGAGGTGAATTTCGCCACGATTTATCCTTCTACCTATAGCCTTCCTTTGGCCAATGATGTTCTTTAAATAATTATTTATCCATTTAGGGTCATTGTTGTCTGATCTGAGTTTTTGTATGGTATGTTCTGCCTTTGTGCCTCATTAAGTAACTCACTATTTAAATTGTCGTGGAACTCGGCAATCTCTGATCTCGTTATCAGGTCGGTGTCATCTGTCAGGTTCACGGCCAAGCGCGACACCCCCTCTCTCAGCTGCCTCTTTAAACTGTCAAAGTTTGCCCTTCTGAAATCTGGTACTTTAGTGGAATTTTCCTTACGTCTGCCCTGAAAATCTAATTGGAATCGAATTTCTTTGTGATCGCTGTTTGCAAGTTCGTTCCCTACCTCGACATTGCTAATGAGGTTTTCTCTGTTCGACAGAACTAAATCCAGTATATTATTACCCCGTGTGGGTTCGGTTATATGTTGACTTAGGAAACAGTCCTGGATCGTCTCGAGAAAATCCTCTGATTCTGAGTTACCCGTAAGGACAGTCCAATCTATTTGGCCAAGGTTAAAGTCGCCTACTATACAGACTTTGTTGTGTATGGAAGCCCTGCGCATTTCATCCCAGATAAGTCGCTCATTGACGCTATCAAGATTGGGGGTCTATATATTACTCCTGTGATTAGTTTTTCCCGACCGTCGCTTAATTCTATCCAAATTGTTTCTGTATTCCTCTCAGTTTTTATTTCCTTATTTATTTCACACTTCAGATTATCCCTAACATAGATTGCTACTCGCCTCCTTTCCTGGTCTGCCTATCGGTATGGAACAGTTTGTAACCCGCAATTTGGTATTCGACTGGTAATTCACGTGTGTCTAGGTTGATCCATGTTTCAGTGAATGCAATTATATCGATTTCTTCCGTACATACCAAGGCCTTAATATCATCCATTTTGTTTCTCATACTTCTACTGTTCGCGTAGTATACATTTAAGTTAGTCGTGTTCTGAGTCCTTCCCTTACCGCGTTTAGTTTTAAACTCCGTCTAATTTAGTTTTGTCATCATTCCTAACACTATTTCCTTGTAATCTTTCGCCTTGTTTACCCGCTCCCACTGCAGCCTCCTCCACCCCCGTGCCCCTCCTTAATTGTTAACGTGTCGACCGTGACCAGGTGTTGTCCAGGTATTGACTCTAATGTGTTGCTGCTGGCTCCCTCCCTAGTCCACCTTGCTAGTGTGTGTGTGTGTGTGTGTGTCATTACCACAACACAAGTCACGAACAAAAACAAAAAATTAAAAACTTTTAATTCACTTTTATATTAATTTTTAAAACCTTTCTTAATTTATTTTCTTTAGATATGTTGAAAAAATTTAACACTGGCGGCCGTTTTTTCCACCATTTTGAATGTCTGGTTGTAACAGAGACATTTTGCTTTTGTTTTATTTAGTTTCAAGTTGTCGTGTTTACCTTGTGTGTCTGTCTGTGTGTCTGTCCGTCTGTTGGTTCGTCTCCTATAGTGTGTGGGAGAGGGAATCTAAACCCTTTGAGTGATTTAGGCGTCGTCAGTGTTAAAAAATAATTGATAAAAAAATCACATTTACTCTTGTGTCCTTGTTAATATAATGGTCAATTAACTGAGACTAGATATCGCGTCCTTGTGTAAATATAATTGTACAAAAGGCACAATGCAAAATTAAGAAAATAGGATATATAAGAAAATTGAAAGAAACTCGTTAAAAAGTGTAATTAAAAAACGTTGTCAAAATATTAAGAAACATGAATATTTAAACACGATAATTATAATTACCTAAAGTTTATTTAATGTTTACTTGAAGGGTAGAGAAGTTTACCGACTTTTTTTTCACGTATGTTGAGAAAGATGAGTAAAGAGTGGTGGTTCTCTCTCTACCCCTCTCTCTATCTACCTCCCCCTCTCTCTACCCCTCTCTCTACCCCCCTCTCTACCGCCTCTCTTTACCCCTCTCTCTACCCCCCCTCTCTCTACCCTCCCCCTCTCTTTCTCTGGCTCGTCTTGAACAGAATTAATCTTTGGGTAAATTATCGTACGTGGCAGCCGCTATGAATCACCTCTAATAACAGGCATCAAGACTATCATTATCTCGTCTAGGCCAGCAGGTCACTTGTGTACTAGGATGACCTTCTTTGTGAATTTGGGGGGGGAGAGGTCAGAGGTCATAGATAGTGGGTCATTTGCAGCAGGAAGAAGTGATGTCATCACTTCATCGTGACATCAATACTGTTTGGATATACGAGAGGAAATACCAGTTTACATTGGTTGACTAGCCACGCATACGCAACGTAGATACTGTAAACAATGCAGGTATATAAGCAATGCAGGTATATAAATGCAGGTATATACAACACAGGTATATAAATAACACAGGTATATAAACAACTCAGGTATATAAACAACACAGGTATATAAACAAGTGTAAGTCAATTGATTCAGTTGATGACGTCTTCAGCAGGTAGAGTAACATTATACCAGGTGGTGTGAGACAGGTAGCCCAGGACAGGTAAGGTGATATAAACTTGTGGGGGCAAAACAGGTAATATCGTGTGAAAGGTAAAACTTCCTCATTTTTTACCCCAATAAATGTCACGGCCGAGTAGTTGGCAACATGGCGGAAATACGGCTATGGTGGCCCCTGTGTTGTCATACAAGTATTCCTCATTATTTTATACCTTGATATGGCTTATTAGTATCATTATTATCCTTATTTCGGCTTATTTTTGTAATATCTTAATCCTTATTAAGTCTTATTACTCTCTCTCTCTCTCTCTCTCTCTCTCTCTCTCTCTCTCTCTCTCTCTCAAACACTAATTCTTTCCCCTCTCCTCCCTCTCCCCCAAACCAACACTAACTCTCCTCCTCCCTCTTCTCTACCAGGCGATAATGTTCCCTACGGAGCCACGACCAGAGTGGCACCGACACCTTCGTCATGTTCTCCACAAGGCTGGACAGAAGATCTTCAAGAAGCCTGAATACCATGACACCACCATCCCAGAGAACCTTCGATACCAGCTCAAGCACATCTACGTTTACTAGCCAACTGTGTCTATTGTACTAGCTAAATGTGGCTATTAGCTAAACTATGGCTATTAGATGACTGTCTATTAGCTAGCTGTTTCTATTATTAGCTAATTATGTTTGTTAGCTAGCTATGGCTATTGGCTAGCTATGTATATGAGCTAGTTGTTGCTATGAGCTAACTATGGGGTATTAGCTAACGATGTCTACTAGCTAACTTTGGCTATTAGCTAACTGTGGCTGTTATTAGCTAACTATGTCTACTAGCTAAATATGGCTAATAGCTAACCATGTCTATTAGCTAACTATGTCTATTAGCTAACTGTTTTACTAATTACATGTCTTATTAGCTGTATATCTACTAGTTACACATGCCTGCTAGTTATAGTACGTCATGTCTAAATACTGTATGCTAGCTACGTATTGTCTATGTATGCTAGCTACAAACATCTACCGCCATGTCTACGTCTACTAGCTTCGTGTATGTCTTTTATGTACCATGTCTACTTTGCTATCTACCACATCTTTGTCTACTAGCTAGTTCTACTACTAGCTTCCAACTTAAGCAATATCTACATCTACTAGCACATCTACTTCCATTAGCTATCACGTGTAAGATCTGTCAGGAGAGTCTGTAGAGTCCTCGACCCTGTGTAGAGTCTTGGGACTTTCGGGGGCGTTGGTTAGCCCCTTTAGAGGACTAATTAGCCCCCTTTAGAAGCCTAATTAGCTCCACGGTGGACTTATTAGCCCCCTTGAAGGACTAATTAGATTCACAGTGGACTAATTATACTCTACAGGGGACAACTATGCGAGAGGTGCTTGGTTGTTTTAATTCACTGTTGTACACACACACACACACACACGTATTCATTCATTCATTCATTCCCGTTTTAATTTTCATTGTATTTTGTCTTATTTATCCACTACCACCATCATTACTCTAACAACACGCTACCCCCCCCCTGTTCTACCACAATCATCACCCCCCTCTACCACAATTACTCCCTCCTAATGCCCTACACTAACCCACAACTACTTCTACCACCCTTCTTACCACAATCACCCCCCACTCCATCCCATCACCACCACACCCTTCACCACCACCACATCACACCCTTCACCACTACACCACCACCACATCACACCCTTCACCACTACACCACCACCACATCACACCCTTCACCACTACAACACCACCACCACAATACCTAGCATCTCAACCCATCACAATCATACCACCACTACTACACCATCATAACCTTCACCACCAGACCCTTTACCACCACACCCTTCATCACTATCATGCCAGCGACTCAAGACTGACTATGAAGCAACGATACAGCCAAGACACAACACTTCACTATGGCAGCTTATGACGCCTCCAACCAGTTATTTTTGTTGGGTCACGTCACTGCGTTGTGTTCCAATGACATAACAAAAACATAGACCCTTCCTCCTTCTCTTCCCCTCATTATCCCTCCCTCCTTCTCTTCTCTCTTCCCCCCCTCCTCCTCTTTCAAGGGGGTCTCCATCTGTCACCACAAACACCTGTACAGCGTGAGGGTAATTAAACAGACACACACACACACACACACACACGTACACCAACTTGTCACCCATGATAGTAAACTTTAGGCTGTGTTATTTACAGACAAGTTCTCGTGTTGTTGTTGTTAATTGATAGTTGGAAGAAAGTTTGTCAACATCAAGTGGTTATTTATGAGTGAATTATTAATTATTTGGTATTATTATCTTCTTTTAACGAGGACTTTTATCAGTGTTGTGTGTATGTATCTATGTATGTTTCTTTCCTGTACGTACAGCATATGATGTGTGAGGGAGTGACTGATTGACTCGAGGAAGTTAAGTAATATTCTGGCTGTCTGTGTTATTTTGTGGGTTTTATTATTTAAGGTGTATCGAGGAAGCAGCTTGGTCACTCTCTTGTCATCACATCAGGTGTACCACTAATGACATTACTACTGGCACTGTCTGTGTGTGTGTGGTGCCATGTTAGCTGTGTCCAAGCCTCACCCTGGCACTTGATAGATAGCACTGCCTCTACTGTTACTGTAGACTCCAGCGATGCTACTGTCATCCCCTCACTCTCTGACCTCTGCCCCTCACCCCCTCTACCCCTCACCCCCTCCCCCTCACCCCCTCTACCCCTCACCCCCTCTACCCCTCACCCCCTCCCCCTCACCCCTGTCCCTTACCCAGTCTAATCCTCACCCCCTCCCCCTCACCAACTCCTCCCTCACCCCCTCACCACCTCCTCCTCCCTCAGCTAATGACGACGTGACAGTGGTATTGTGGTGTGGGTCACGTGACAGTGTGGGTTTGCTTAAGTTGGATTCATTTTTTTCATTCTTGTGTAAGTAAACGTCGATGTGTGTGTGTATATGAGCTGCTGTGTGCACATTTTTCATGTGTAGATAAACGTTGGATCTGTGTACATGGCTGCTGCGTACACAAATCAATATGCATATGAACTGTTATATGCACATGATGAAACGTGTACAGATGAGTTGCTGTGTACACATTGATATGTACAGACAAAGTACTGTGTACACATGAGATGTAGTGTGCACAAGAGCTGTAGTGTACACATAAATCAGCTTGTGCATTAAATGTGTGCACCTTCAGAACACTGCTGGATGTGTCAGTGTTCGTGTAAGTCCGTCTGAAAAGTGTGTTCCTTGTACACCTAACTGCTCCTCTCAACGCTGTCAACTGTTGTATATTTTACAATCTAAAACAAACCCATTGTGATATATACGCAACAAAGTCTATTTAAAAAAGTATACACAAATTTACTTCTTCACTGTATATACACAAATATTTGCATTTTGGGTATACACTGTAATGTATATTTACAAAACATAACTTGTATCCTTGAAGTACTGTATAAACTGTCTTATGTATTTTGGACTTAACATTAGTTATTGAATTTTGTGGATGTGTGTATAAAGACAATTGTGTGTATATTTTAGGGTGTATGTATCATAAACATTGGTAACTTACTGTTAATATATCGAAATTTTAGTGTGTGTGTGTGTGTGTGTGAGAGAGAGAGAGAGTGTTAGGAGGTACAGGTGATCACGCTGGGGGACTGACGAATGGATCTCAGGGAACTTAGTGTATATAAATAAATTTATATTTATATATTATATATAACTGTTGAACAAGCAGAAATCATTGTATTATTATCTACCCTGTGAGGCGAGGGTGGGTGTGTGTGTGTGTGTGTGTGTGTTAGGGTGCGTGAGTGTGGGAAACATTCACCTTGTCACGTTAAACCAAAATAAATAATTGTTTAAAAGAATTTATCTAAATATTGACCATTTTAGAAGAACAATGCTGAAACAATATAATATTTTGGTGCACTTTTTCGACAGTAGAAAAAGGTAGCACGTAGAATACTGTAAACATCACGACCTCTGTACAGTTGTATTGTGATAAAGACATTTACTATTTGTTTATTTAAGTGTCAGCTGATGGAGAGGTGATGATGAACGATAATAATGATGTAGTGAGAACCAGTCATAGTTTTGTTTAGAGGTTAAATCTTTAGTGTTGGTGAGCGTTTGACTTGAGTGTTTAACCAGACACTTGTAAGACATACTTAAGAGCTTTTGTGTCGGTGAAAAGTTCCTAGAGCTTTGGATGAACTTTTTTTTATATACAAGAACAAATTTGTTAATTCTATGTCCTCTATATAACTTACAACGTGTATTAAAAACTGGAAGTAAGACCTACACTTTATTGTACGTCATGTTGGTTAGTGATGTAATGGTCATTGTTGATAAATGCTGGTGTAATGTTTCCTACGCCGGGTCCTACCATCCTTAATCAAGACATTGTGTACCGTGATGAGGCAACATTGTGAGGGAATGGATGAAGTCCTCCCAAGGGGCCTCTCACCACTCATTGTGATGATGATGATGATGGTGGTGTGTGTGTGTGTGTGTCGTCATCACAGGGGTTGTATGGACATCAGTGGAACATTAATATAAGGTTATTATATTATTATTATTATTATTATTATAACATCAACGGAACATTACAACAAATTGATATATTAATATATTACACGAGACAAAACATCTGGGTGTAGAAGTCTATGTAAATTATAAAAAAAATGTTTTGGTCAGAGAGAAACAAGATACGTTGGCAACAGAGAAATACTTTGGTTATTACAGAATTGAATTTGTAACTTGTCATAATAGTGAAAAGAATTACAGTAAACGCTCTCAATAACAGACTATTCAATAATGAAACTGGATACAGTAAACCCTCTCAATAGCGGATATCCTCAATAACAGAATCCTCCTAATAATAGACAGGACTTGCAAGAATTAGTCTGGTATTGGAAATTGTTTACTGTTTACTAAGTTTTGGAACATCGACTATTTACCGTAAACAAAGTGAAGAGGTTACTGTAACGGTCGACCTTGAGTGAGTGAAAACCTCTTGGGGCATTACATCAAGGTGCAGTGTTTTTGTTGTTCACCTTCAACACACTGTTATGTTACACGCTTGTCATCCTCCGCTGATCTGTCCTTTATTCCTGTAGGTACTGAGCCTCGAGGACTGTGATAAAAAACGAGTCTGGTCAGCCTTTTAAGATAACATTAAGAACTTGAACCCCTTACTAGGCTGGGTGTCCATACCACAGCTACACTGGACGCTTGACTGTATAGCTTCCTGTGGTGTTGTGGTTGAACTTTGTGGTACTGTATGTAAGTTATATCTTGTGAACAGGTTAATTAATATGACTTGTACCTGCATGTTTGAAGGACCTGATCATTGGTGTTAATATGACCACGTGTATGACTTGTCTGTTGTAAATGGTCAGACATAATGGAAATTTAGACCTTGTATAAAGCCCTTGTGTGATGGGTGCTCCAGTTTGATGGCCTCAACCACACACTGTGGCCTTGTAGAATATTATAACGTTGTGATTGATGCTGCTCAGACATAGTAGACATATTAAGCATTTTAAACACTTTATTTTTTTACTTTGTCTCTTAAGGGTTGTAATCCTCGTCCTCGCCTCTAGCATGGCTTTGTGGTTATGACTGACGGTTGTGGTCAGGTGTTGTAAGTGTACAGTCATGCATACACCTACCATGATCACCGTCCACCATGCTGGGGGTGTATGAGCTTCTGCCAGATATCCAGTGTGACTTAATGGGATAATTTAAGTATGTTGTCATTGAATCTGTCAGACAAAATGAAAGTTATAAGTTTGTCAAGTGTAAAAGAAACATGTTGTTCTTCTCTCTCTAAATTCAGACCAAACTGTGTATGTTAATTTATATGATGATGCTTTTACCTGAGTGCCTTAAACGTGTCAAAATGTTATCCATATTACATAGAGACTTGTCTAGCTAAATGGCTTGACTTAACTGTTTAGGTGAGTCTCTGTGTACTATGGGTGTTTATTATTGTACTGTAGGTTGGGTCACGTAATTAGTTACATCTTCACTCCGAGAAAGTCATTGTACCGCCCTCTGTGAGACAAGAGTCCAGCAGCTGGTGTAATGCCAGTAATGAGATCAATTGCCTATATCTCAACCTGTTCTTTTGGTCAATAAAATAACAGAAATATTGGCTAGTTTTCTTATCCCTCAATCATTACGGTAAACTACTTCATCATTAATTAATTATGTAATTTTCTATCATGATCGACTTAAATATGATTTCCCATTGTGAGTTATTTACAAATACTGTCCCTGTTCATCAAAGTTCCATATACAAACCACCTCTTTCTGCCCCCTTGAAGACGGGCAGTGTATCATCCCATTTGCCTGCACCAGAACAAGTGTAAAACTCCTTGCGTAGAAACTTCATTTGGCTCAGTTACAAGGTACACAAAGGGACGAACAACAGGGAGACGCTTCCCAACGGGTACAAGTGATAGCAGGTTTGAAGGCAAAGGCCAACACTCATTTTGACTCTAACAAAGATGATATCGCGTCTTATCTCCGTAGGTTTGAACGCTTTGCTTCGGTTGCTGTTTAGGACCAGGCACCACTGGGCTATAATCATAAGTTCACATCTACAGGGAGTGGCACTTGATGTTTATTCAAGATGAAGGAGATGACTACAAAACAATGAAGCAGGTTTATTTCTCGTGAGAGTCAACACCTGGGGTGGAGGCAGGAGTGTTCTTGACCACGAGACTGACAAAGAAAGGAGGAAGATAAAGAAGAGAACATCAGACGAAGTATACAATGAGGAATTTGACAGTGGCAGGGTAAGAAGATTGCGTGTACAGTGTTAATAAGAGTTGTGATTAGTCTAAACAAGGGTAACCAGGCATTAACCACACTAAATGTAGTGAGGAGCTTGTGGTGTGATTAAATGCATGCTTGAGAAATTTTTCTTCCTGTCAATAAGGAAATGTGCACAGTAGAAATATTTACCAAAAAATATTTAACTTTGCATTCTAGTCCAGGGAATACAGAATGGATCCCAGTTCTTGACATTATAGGTAAAGATGTACAGTAGAGTATCACCACAAATGATGAGCAGTGTGTAATCCTTTAATCAATGTACAGTACAGTACAGACATCCCATCTTTTTTTTTCTTTTACTGTTTTAATTTAGTCATGTTATATTTTATGTATTTTCTTTATCAATGAAAGAGGGATATTCATCTTGCTGCTTTAAATAACAATCTAGCTACAGTACAAGAAAGAATGAATAACTGTAGATAGTTGTCGAGTATATTTGCTCTAATATATTGATTGATGTCTTTTGTATAATAGACCAAGAAGATGAAAACTATAAAGAAGAGTTGGGAGTCTCAAAGCTGGGACCGTGACTCGGGCAATGATTTTCAAAAGGTCCAAGACTTCCGTAACTCGAGTCATGGACGCCGCACATACCAGTACACCAGCCCACATTTCAACACCCAAGACATTCACATTGGGACAAAAGCCGTAATCTCTACCAGCAGCGCAACAAATCTTGGAACAGGTTTGGCAAACGAGATCATAAGTTCCACAAGAAACACAAGGAAAGGTATAAACATTGGGATCGTAGAGACTAAGAATATTCTGTATCTAGATATATGACTAAGGGGCCGCCTGTTCACATATGTTACATGCAGCTGTTGCATAGTCAGTAATGTATAACTGAACATTTTTAGCTATTTTA